CCTACCTACCTACCTACCTACCTACCTACCTACCTACCTACCTACCTACCTACCTACCTACCCCTAACCCTAACCCTAACCCTAACCCTAACCCTAACCCTAACCCTAACCCTAACCCTAACCCTAACCCTAACCCTAACCCTAACCCTAACCCTAGCTGATGCCTCGTCAACCCTAGCCGCACTCCATTCCGCCCCACCCACCACCACCCACTCCACTTGCCACTCACTGCCCCCTTGCCACCCCTACCCATCCCATGCATGACCCACATCCACATTCCCATCCACGCCACCATACTCATTCTCCACCGCACCATGCGCATGGCTGGGCATGGGCCTGGATTGAGTCTTTGATGCTGATTCACAATCCCCGTCCCCTCATTGACACTTGCCTGTGTCACTCGTTCGGCCGAGTCGCATGTGCGGGTTGTTGGGTGACATGAATGTCATTCAACATTTTTATGATTCGCCACTCGTCACTCGTTTGATTGTTTGACATTCAATTGATTGTCATTGATCATTGTTAATTGATCATTCGATTTTTCTGTTTCTTTTCTTGTTGGCTATCCATGTTCCTTGTTCTTTGCCGTTTATGTTTCCACATGCTTTGTTGTTGCTATTGTCTGCCTTCATGTTCTGCTGTGGTTGCTATTGCCTTTGATGGTTGACTACAATCGACATGCATTCCCATTCATCATTCCTTTCGCTCTTGTTGTTGCTTTTATCATTATTCGTCATGCTTCATTTGTTCTTGACTGTCCTGTTTTATTGACCTTGACTCTCACATCCATGATCGACCGTTGCTCACTACACCATCGATTCTCAACTTTGTTGTCGTTGGCTATGGTCAATAGTTGTGCATGCAATGTATTTTGTGTTGACCCTGTTGTGTTGTGGTCATGGTTGATCTGCAGATCTGATCGATCAACCGCGCCCTGCCTCATCGACCTCAACGTCACCCGAGTCCATCCCATTGCCAGCCAGTCTTACCCAGTTCCTGTTGGCTTACTCATACGTGTGCTGTGCAAGCCATGTATGATCTTTGGTTGTTGTTGTGGACGTCATTGCTTTGTTTGATGCTGGTTCCGGCCTTTCTTCAATTATTTCAACGTTCAACTCAATTAACGTCCGCCGCCTTCCCTCTGCCGGCGAAGTACCCGCCGCCCCTATCGCCCACACCCCACACACACCCATCAGCCGTATCATAATCACCTTCATTAATGCTCAAGCCCAATCGCCATACCCACCACCCCTTCGCCCGTCCCGTCACCCACGTCACGACCCCCCTCATCCCCCCTACCATACTCATTACCACCCGTCACCACAAACGACCACCCTCACCCTCTACTCCACCACCACCACTCCCATTCCAGCTGCAACTCCCACCCCCATGCTATGGCCATACCCATCACCACCCTATCGCGCACCCCGCTTCCTCCTCCTCCTCCTCCTCCTCCTCTCCTCACTCCAGCTCACCCGCATCCTCATTCCCGACCTCGACACCCATACCCTCAACCATCACAAGTCATACTGCCCATCCACCAACCAACAGCAATCTCAAGCCACCCCGCTCCGACTGAGCCCCCTCAGCTGCCCCTGCCTCGCCGACCACCAGCCGCCAGCCGTCGCCCGCTCGCCCGTTCAGCCCACCTTCACCACCACCTAGCTCCTTCCCACCACCAGCTACACAACCCACGACCACACCCAAGGTCATCACTCACCTCACACTATCACCAGTATCAATACCGTCGTCATCGACACCCATCGACCTCGGCTCATTTCTGCGTCGACTGGTTCTGCCTAGGTGGTTGAGCACGCCCTCGACCGCCCGACCCCGCACACGCCCCCCACCAACCTCTTTGCAAGATATGCCCAATCGGATTTTACCACTACTCTACTACACGCCCACACTACCCCCTTGCGCAGTCTCCAATCCATAGCTGCAGTATTCCGGAATCCGAGTTCTGTCACCTGAGGCCCAAGTTGTTGACCCTGTGTCCCTTCGATGCTGCTGACCCCCCTCCCCGGGCCCATATCCGACCCCCACTCCCCAACCTGTCCACCCACAACCACCACACCCACGCCACACGTACTCACCTCCCCTGGAAACATAGCCACCCACTCCCTGCCCGCCGATACGCACATCAGCCGACGCCAACCCGTCAACGTCAAACACCGCCGCGTCAGCTGCCACCGCCGACCGCCGCCCGCCGCCGACCGACCACCGCCGGCACCACCGAGAGCAAGCAAGCCATCGACAGGGCATTGAAAACAATGCATAGAGATAGCCACATCATTGGCAATGGCTTCCATTTTGCCCTTCAACCCAATCCTCCCCTCCCTTCTCCGGCCTTGCCCATCACAGCTCCCGCCGGCCTGCTCATTGCCAGCCGCCCATGCTGCCGAGCCAGACGACGAGGCCAGTTGCCTGGCCATGGCAACGAATAATAAGAGAGGGCATGTGCACGTGATAGGAAATGCAGTGTTTGGCTCGATTGCAGTGAGCTGCCACCTCGTCCAATCCCAAGCCCTCGTCCCCATCGACGTCCATCTCAATCCAATACATCCCGCCCTTCTCTCCCTCGCCACCCAAGCCCGTCCACCCTTATCTCTCACACCCCACACACACTCAGCATCCTCATACCCAACAACATCAATTCTCAAGCCCACATACCATACTTTGCATCTCTCTTCCCGCTACAAGTGCCCCGATCATCTCGCCGATCAACTTGTAGGACTTCAACTACTATTCCTGCTGGCTGCGCCACATCATGTTTAGTGCATCTCAGCCAGTGCGACTTCAACTAAGCCGATGATGACTTGTTCTTCTTGGGAGGCGGCGACCACGGCGGCGGCAACTCACACTTTGTGTCGTCACAAAGCGGAACTACGCCACGCCCACCAGAGCGGACTCCGGATGCAAGCGCGGCCCGGGGAAAGAGCTCGAGACCAATCAGCCGCTCGAGCTCGTCGAGCGAGACCGAGTACTTGATGAGCGGCTCGTTCTCGGCAATGGGCGCGTTCGGCGTCAGGAATGCTCCAACCGCGCGCTTGCGGCCGTCCTTGGTCTCGGCGAGGACTGCCTTGAAAAAGTGGGTTGGAACCGCGACGTTGGGCGGCGAGCCAATGACCTCGTAGCGGACAAAAGCCTTGCCAGTGACAGCGTCGATCTCCGGCACCCACGCGGGGCCAGTCAACACATACACGTCGTCGTACTCCTTGGTCAAATGCCGCATAAAGCCTTCCAGTCGTGCCCAGTAGTCACGGTTAAAGCCCTTGCCGACTTGCGGCGAGATGTTCGAGAGCAGGAACGACTCGCACATCCCGAGCTGCGATGTCTTGTGGTCCGCCGCCGGCGAGAGGTGCCCGCGATCGTAGCCCGACCCGCGGTAGTCCTCGAGCTTGGACCGGAACTTGCTCGGCACGCTCTTGTCCTCCGCAAACATGCACTCGCGCCGGTGCGGCTTCTTCTCGCCGGGCCCATACTTGGGATACAGCGAGTCGCGCGTCAGATGCTCGGCCACCCACCGTGCCGTCCGCATCCGCCGGTCGTACGCCACCACATACCCGTCGCGGACTTTGACGTAGTCGTTCGACGGCGGCCCGTACTTGATTGCCGCCGCCGTCTTCTTCCCGCCAGTCGGCCCTGCGCCCGCTCTCCGTGTCGCTGCCGGTGGAGCCTTGCCGGTCGCCTTGCCTCCTCCCGCGCCATTTGACGACCCCACCCGAGCCGCTCCCCACCCAGCCAGCACACCCGCTAGCGCTCCAAACAGCCCATACGTCACAGCCTTGCCCGGTCCAGACGCCATGCTTACACCAGCTTCACTAGTTGCTGCAAAGAGAGGTGTTCCCTGTCCTAACCACGCCACCACCACCGCTCCCGCCACCTCACCCTCGTCGCCCACCTCGCCCACCTCACTCAAGCCCAACACCCCACCACCATGCTCAAAAACTTCGAGTTCATTCCCTGGGATAGAGCTCAGGATAGAGCTCAGGACAGAGCTCGAATCGATGCTTCCTCAGCACGGCTTACGCCTGGCCGAGAAGGACAGCGATCTTGGCGTTGATGGCCTCGTTGGCGGCCTTGCTCTCCTCGAGCTTGTCCTTGAGCACGATGACCTCCTCCTTGGCGGCCGTGTTCGAGGTGCGGAGCTCCTCGTTGACGCGGCGAAGCTTGCGGCGCTCCGACTCGGCCTGGGCAACCTCGGACGCCTGAACGTCGAGCTCGTCACGGAGCATGGCAACGCGGGCGAGCGCCTTGGACGCCCGCGACTCGGCACGGGTGACGGCCTTGCCAGCCTCGGCCGCATCGGCCTTGGCCTTGCGCAGCTCCTTGGTGGCCGAACGGAGCTGCTTCTGCAGGTCGACCTTGGACGCGGTCTCCTTGGAGAGCCGGGCCTGGATCTCGGCGATCTTGGACTCGAGCCGCTTGCGGACGCGCTCGATGGACGACGCGCCACGCCCGTCGGAGCGGGCGAGCCGCGCCTGGAGGTCCTTAAGCTCGCGCTCCTTGGCGATGTTGTCCTTCTCCAGCCGCATGTTGGTGTCGTCGGTCCGGATGAGTTCGGCCTCGAGCTCGTCGATCTGCTTGTTGAGCGACATCTGGACCTCGTCGATCGACCGGTTGTGTGACTCGGAGTCGTCGAGCTTCTCGCGAAGATCCTCAACCTCAGTCTCGAGGTCACGGCAGGTGGCGTTGAGCGCCGCGAATGCGGCCCGCTCCTCCTCGAGCTCGAGAACAACAGACTGCAGCCGGTCCTCCACGGCCTTGCGCTTCGACCGGACCGACTCGAGCTGCTTGACCGCGTCGGCAAGGTCCTCCTGCGCCTCGCGCGCCGCCATCTCGGCCCGCTTGCCGGCAATGTCGCTCTCGGCGCGGAGACGGGTCTCCTGCTCGAGCTTGGTCGACGCCACCGTGAGCTCCGTCGAGAGCTTGTTGACGACCTTGTCGTGCTCGGCTTGCTTCCGCTGCAGCGCCGCGAGCTCGTCGGCCATGTCCTCCTTCTCGTTCGCCAGCCGCCGGCTCGTCTTCTCGAGCTCGAACTTCTGCCGCTCCTCCGTCGCCGCCTTCTCCGACAGCACCTTGACGTCCTTGAGCAGCTGCCGGCGCGACTCCTCGAGCGCCTCGGCCTGCTCCTCAATCTGCGTCTCGTAACGCTCCTTGAGGTTGGCGAGCTGGTCGAGTGTCTCGATCTTCTCGTGCTCCCACTCCTCGCGGAGCGCCTCCTCCTGTGCAAGGCGGTCGCGGACCTCCTCGAGCTCGGTGTTGACAAAGTTGAGCTGCTCGGCAGCCTCCTCGGCCGCCGCAATCGCGTCGTCGTAGTCGTCCTTCATCGCCTCGATCTCGGCCTCGGCAGACTTGGCGGCCGCGTCGAGCGACGAGACCTGCGAAAGGAGCTCCTCGTGCTTGGCGAGCGCCTCGGCCTGCGCCGCGCGCAGAGCCGCAATCTCATCCTTGGAGCTCTCCACGAAGCTCTCGGCCGTCGCCAGCCGGTGCGCCAGGTCCTTGTTCTCCGACATGAGCCCGCGGTTGGACTTTTCAAACTCGGTCCGGCTCTTAACTTCGTCGTCGAGGCGGGCGACGGCGGCAGCAGCCTCACGCTGAGCCCGCTGCAGCTGCTTCTCCATCGACGCGTTCTCGCGCTCGGCGTCGTCAAGCAGCTCCTTGAGAGCCTCGCGCTTGGCACGGCTCTCGCGCTTGGCGTTCTCGAGTGCCTCGATTTCCACAGCCGCATCTGCCGCAGCCTGCTTCTTGACCTCGGCAATCTCCAGAATGTGCTGTCGCTTGAGCTCATCGGTTGCCTCCGAGCTCACGCCCGAAGACGCGGACTCGAGCTGCGACTCAAGCTGCTGGACCTTGAGCTCGAGCTCGCGCCGCTTGTTCGCCTGAGCCGTCTTGGCCCGGACCGCAACCTCGTGCGCGTCGCGCAGGTCCTCAACCTGCGCCGTGAGCTCGTTGTTCGACGCCGTCAGCGCGCTCATGTTCCGCTGCAGGACTTCGAGACGCGCCTTGGTATCGGCGAGCTGCGTCCGCGCAACCTGGAGCTCACGCTTCGACGCCTCGGTCTCCTTCTTCGACTTGAGGAGCTTGGCGTTGACCTTGGAAGCCTCAGCCTTGTGCTTCTTGGCAAGCTTGCTCGCCTGCCGTGCCTTGGTCTGCTCCTCGGCCACCGCAGCCTTGACCTCCATCTTGGCGCGGGTGCCCGAGCCGGCGACGCCGGACGCGCCACCGCGGCCGGCCTTGCGCTCGAGCTCGATGACCTTGAGATCAAGCTCCGCGATACGCGCCTGAAGCGAACGCTTCTCCTCCTCGAGCTTGGTCACCCGGGTGTTGTCGGCGTTCTCGAGCGAGTTGCGGTACTCCTGGAGCTGCGCGTACTGCTCACGACGGAGGTCCTCGACCTTCTGCCGCTCCTCGATAGCGTCCTCGAGCTCCTCCTTGAGCTGCTGCACCTCCTCAGCGAGAAGCTTCTTCGACCGCTCCACATGCTGGGTGAGCAGCTGCTGCTCCGACACGTCCTCCTGCAGCTCGCGGATGGTGACCTTGAGCTCCTTGCGTGCCCGGACATCGGCGTCACGCCGCGACTGCAGCTCCGCCATCTGTGCCGCAACCTCCGCCTGTGCCGCATCCATCTTCTTGCACCGCAGCTCGGCCTGGAGCGCTGACTCCTGCTCGGCAGAGAGCTGTGCGCGGAGAGACTTGAGCTCCGAGTCGAGATGCGCCTTCGCCTCCTTGAGAAGCGTCGCCGCCAGCTTCTCCGACTCGAGCGCGTCCTGCGCCTGGTCGAGTTCCGACGCAAGCGCGCGCTTGGCACGCTCGGCCGAGCTCGTCTTCCGCCGCTCCTCGTCGAGCTCCTCGCGTGCCTCGAGCAGCTCGTTGCGGAGGTCGCGGATGGTCTTCTCGAGCTCCTCGAGCTTGGCCACCAGCTCGACGTCGGCCGAGCCCTTGAGCATTTCCATTTCCTCGAGCAGACGCGCCTGCTCGTCGCGGAGCATCTCAGCCGCTGCCTCCTCGTCCTCGGCCTTGGCCACAGCCTCAGAGAGCTCAGCCTCAAGCTCCTTGACGTGAGCAGCCGCGTTCTTGTGGAGGATGGCCTCCTCCTCGACCTGCTCGCGAAGGTCCTCAACCTCCATCTCGAGCGACTTGGCCTTCTTCTGCGCAATCGAACGCTGCCGCAGCGCCTCGTCAGCTTCGTCGCGGAAGCCAGTGACCTGCGTCGAGAGCTTGGCTGCCGACGCCTCTGCCACCGCCAGACCGCGCTGAGCCTCGGCAAGTGCTTCCTGTGCACGCGCGAGCTCTGCGGCCAGCCGCCGCTCCTTGGTCGATGACTCGGACGAGGCCGAGGCGCGGAGTGCCGCTGCCGCCCGCTCATCCTCCAGGTCCGTCTTGGCCCGCCGCAGCGCCTTCTCCATCGCGCCCTTGGCCTTGACCTCGCCGGCAAGCTCCTCGCGGAGCTCGGCAATGGCCTGCTCCCACTTGGCCCGCGAGCTCGAGAGCGAGCTCTCCTTCTCGTCGAGAGCTTGCGTAAGCTGCCGCCGCGTGTCATCAAGCTCAAGCTCGCGCTGGTGGAGCATGAGCTCGGCAGCCTCGCGCTCCTGGACCTCATCCTCGAGCTCGTCGGTAGCGCGCGCTGCGGCCTCAGCTGCTGCCGCCGCCTTGCGCTTGGCGTCTGAGAGTGCCCGCGACGTGTCGTCGAGGCTCTCGGTCAGATCCTCGTTAGCGGTCTGCAGCGAGCGCTTCTGGCGCTCGATCGACGCAATCTTGGACTCGGCTGTAACGAGCTGCTCGCGGAGCGAGCGGAGCTCGTTCTCCATCCGCTTAACCTCGACGTCCGACGTCGAGCCAATGCCGGACGCACTGCTCGCCGCGGCCTTGGCCGCCTTGAGCTCCGAGCCGAGCTTGCGAGCTTTCTTCTCGGCCGCGTCCTTGGCCGCCGTCGCCATCGCGGCGTCGTTCTCGGCCTCGGCAAGCTGCTTCTCGAGCGACCGCTTAGCACGGTCGAGCGAGGCGCGCGCCTTCTCGGCGTCCTCGAGCTCGTCTTGCAGCGCGTCGTTGTCGAGCGACGCCGACCGCTTCGATTTCTCCAGCCGGGCAATGGTATCCTGTGCCTCCTGCGCCTCGAGCGTCGCCACCGAGAGCTTGGCCTCGAGGTCGCGCTTGGCAGCCTCGAGCGCCGAGACCTGGGCCTCTAGGTCAGCAACCTTCGACTTCAGCTCGGCAATCTGGGCCTGAAGCTCGCGGATGGTCGAGTCGGAGCGAGCCTTAGCTGTCCGCTCCTCCTCGAGATCCTGCTCGAGGCCGTCGATCCGGGTGAGGAGCAGCGACTTCTCCGACATCAGCCGCCGCTTGGCCTCCTCCTGCTCCTGGGCCTCAGAGCGCGACGACGCGAGCTGCTGCTCGCGCTTCCGCAGCTGCGCCTCGTACTCTTGGCGCTTGCGCTCGAGCTCGGCAGCCTGGGCGTCAGCCTCGCGCTGGAGGCGCGCCTTCTCAGCATCGGCGGCCTCCTGCAGCTCACGCTTCGTCTGCTCCATCTTGGCCATGAGACGGGCGCGCTCGTCGGCAGACGCCGTCTCGGCTGCCACCTTCTCGGCCTCAAGCTTGTCGCGGAGGCGGCGGGCCTCCTCGCGGGCCGCGGCACGGGCAGCGTCGGCCTCCTCCTCCATGCGGGCCTTGTCCGCGGCAAGCTGGTTGCGGAGCCGCTCCGCCTCGGCGGCAGCGGCAGCCTCAGCTGCGGCGGCGCGCTCGGCAGCCTCGCGGGCCGCGGTCTCCTTTTCGGCGGCAATGCGCGCCATTTCAGCCTGCATCTGGGCCTCCTTCTTGGCGGCAGCCTCCTTCTCAGCCTTAAGCCGCTCGACCTCCTCCTGGCGGGCGCGCTCCTCGGCCTCGCGGTCGCGATGCACAATGAGCGGACGGATTTTGGCAAAGAGCTGCCACCAGCCCCACTGGCGGAGCTTGAGGTACGTCCGCACCGACTTTTGCAGGATAGCAATCGCGTTCGAGTTCTCGAGCATCGTGGTGAACTCGGAGCGGCCAAAGTGGCCGCGCACAACAGCCTGGAACTTGATGAGGAGCTTACCGAGGATCTCGTCGCGCATCTCTTCGAGCTTGGGGAGCTCGCCGGCCTTGAAAAAGACCTTGGAGACACCGATCCGGTACATGGCCGGATCGACGCCGACCGTCTCGATGATGATGCGGCAGGCCTCCTTGAGGTCAAGGAGCGAGTCCGGGACCCGGTTGCCGGCGAGGCACCGGTAGCGGTCCTTAAAGTCCTGGAAGAGGAGCCGGTTGGGGAAGCCCTTGCGGCAAATGCGGATGCCCTCGAGCACACCGTTGCACCGCAGCTGGTCGAGCACCATGTGGGCGTCGATAAGCGCCGGCCGCTTCTGCTCGTTCGGCTTGATGCAGCGAATAAAGTGCGGCGTCGTCGAGTTGAGCGTAGCCATCAGGCTCTCAAGCTGGGTCTTGTGCGCCACAGAGACATACGGGCGGGTCTTTTGCTTCTTGGAGCGGGCGACAGAGGCCGAGCCCTCGCGGTCGGGGTAGAGGTCGTCGAAGAGCGCGCCCACGTACTCGTTGGTCGAGTCTTGAAGGACAACGGTGAGCGGATCATCGAGCTTGTCGCGGTTCTTCTCGAGCCAGTCATCCGAGGTGTAGATGACCTTGCCGGCGTAGTGGTGGACGTTAAAGGTGTTCTTGGAGAACTTGGGCAGCGAAAACTTGGGGTGCTTGTCTTTGTGCAGCTCGCCGAGCTTGTCCACAAACGTCTCGTCGGTCGCCTTGGGGAACGCACACTGCTCGTCGAGGATGGAGAGAATACCAAACGGCATCTTGGTCTGCTCGATGAGATCGATAGTGTCCTGCAGGTCCATGCCAAAGTCGATCATGTCCCACTCGATCTGCTCGCGCTTGTACTCCTCCTGCTCGAGGTTGAACATGTGGTGGTTGAAGAACTGCTGGAGCTTCTCGTTGGTGTAGTTGATGCAGAGCTGCTCAAACGAGTTAACCTCAAAGATCTCAAAACCGGAAATGTCGAGGACGCCGATGAAAAGCTCGCGGCGGTTCTTGTTGTGCAGCGTCTGGTTGATCCGCTCCACAATCCAGCGGAAAGTCCGCTCGTAGATCGACTTGGCCATGGCCTCCATCACGTTCTGTGCCTGCGCCTTGTTCCGCGACTTGTTGACCCACTCGAGGCCAGCCTTGAGCCGCGGCCGGAGAACAGCCTTGGCCAGCGAGCCGGCCTCGAGATCGAGGAGGTACTCGATCTCGGCGAGCGAGGCGAGCGCATTGTCATCGGCCTGGGCGTCCTCGGACCGCCGCGACTGGGTAAACTCGACGTTACCCATGTGAAGGACGGCCGCCATGATCTTGTACACGTTCATCCACTCCTCCTGCGGAACGCCCATGGTCTCCCACGCCTCCTGAGTCTCCGCCCACCACTCAGTGTCGTCGATGCCGTCGGCAACGTACGACGCCGGGTTGAGCCACTTGTAGTCCTCGAGCTTGGTCAGGTGGAGCTCGTCGCGGATGCTCTGCGGCGCACCCACAAGGAGCTGGTAGAAAATGTGGTAGTTCCGCTCCTCGCCGGACTGGAACACCACACGCGACTTCTCGAGGAGGTACACATCGATCACGCCACCGGCAATCACGCCCGAGCCGTTAAACTGGATCTCGATGAACTTGCCGAACCGCGACGAGTTGTTGTTCCGGATCGTCTTGGCGTTACCAAACGCCTCCAGAATCGGGTTCGCCTGCACAATCTGCTCCTCGAGCTCACCGCGCCCGCCGGCCTCGGAAATTCGCCCGGCAATGGCCGCCAGGTACTGGATCACCTTCTTGGTGTTGACCGTCTTACCGGCACCAGACTCACCGGTGATGAGCATCGACTGGTTCTGCCGCCCGTCCATCATCGCCCGGTACGCCTCGTCGGCCACCGCGTACACGTGTGGCTCCATCTCCTCGCGCCGCTTGCCCTTGTACGACTCGACAACCTGCGGCGTGTAGATCGGGAGCATCTTGTACGGGTTAACCGCAACGCAGAAAAGGCCAGAGTACGTGTAGATCTTGTTGGCAAAGTATCGCTCCTTGAGGTTATGCAGCACCGTCGCGTCCGACAGGTGCCCGAGCTGCGACATGTCCGGCACCTTGGAGTACTTGCCTGGGTTGACCTCGAACACCTCGTCGCGCGGCACCGTCCGCTGGTGGCCGAGGACCGAAATGGTCACCTCGCCCGAACCCTCAGACACCACATCACCAAGGACGTACCCGTCCGTCTCGTCGGCCACCCAGAACTGGTTGGTCGACGACATGTTGACTTGTAAACTACTTCTTCTCAGAACACTGTGTCGGTGGCTGGCAAAGGTGAGTGCCTGCTTGCCCCGTCCGTCCTCGCAAAATTCGCCCGAAACGCTCAGTTTCTGGCGAACCGGTCACAACGGCCGAAAAACGAGCCTCACGCGCCTGTCGCCGCCCGTGCACGCTCCAGCCCATGCCACCTGCAAGCTACAGACGCAGCAAGTGGTTAGGTGTGGCGGCAAAGCATGGCGTAGGGCTTTGCTTGACCTAAGACTACAAAATACTTGCGCGGAGCGCTCAAGAAGCTCTCGTCTGGGCCGCCACACCTGCGCCGCGAGGCGTCGCCTGAGCGTCACGCTCTCGCTCGAAAAACAACAAATTCAGGCATCCCTCCTGTGCGACCTGCTGGGGGGTAGCCAAGGCGAAAAGCCGAGCTAGGCGGCAAGCAGGGGGGGCAGAGGCACGGCGTGGCGCTTGCTATCGATAGTCTGCGGTGTAAAGCGGTCGCGAGTATCGCCGGTGGGAACGCGCTGGGGAGGGGGGGGGGGGGGGGAGAGACATGGCGGCGTGGCTGCGTGTAGCAGCCAACGAATGATACCTACCTTTCCGAAGAAAGAAAGAGAGGGGTGCCGATCTGACCGGGAGTTGCCCCTTTGGTTTTGGATGCCAAAGTGGACTGGCCAGCACGAGGGAAGGAGGTGCGGAAAATAAACCCGAGTCGACGTAGAGGCGCAGAGAACAGGAGCCAGCACATGGAAGGGGAAGAAGAAGGGAGCCACATGGGTTGGGTTTACTCGGCCGACTCGGAGACCGAGCCAAAGAGATCGTCTTCGTCCGAGCCAGCAGCAGCAGCAGCCGTAGTCGTCTTGGCCTTCTTGGCAGGTGGCTGCAGCGACGAGGCAGCGGCATCGTCGTTGTTGACAGCAGCATCGTCGTCGTCGTTGGCGTCGCCGCTGTTGCCGGCGGCAGCCAAATCGTCGTCATCCGAGTCTGAGCGAGACCGCTTGGCCTTCTTCTTCTTCTTCTTCTTCTTCTTCTTGGACTTGGACTTGGACTTTGCCTTGGCATCGTCATCGTCATCCGACTCGGGCTCGGAGAGGTCGTCCGAGGCAAACTCGAACGAGTCGGTGCCTGACTCGGAGGCCTGGAAGTCCTCGTCCTCGTCCTCCGAGTCGAGGCCGCCAGGGACGCCGTCGTCGACGCCGAGGTCGATTTCGTCCATGGGCACAAACGAGTTGGAGGCCTGCGGAGCGATCGAGACCGAGCTGACCTTGACGCCTGCCGTGTTGAGATAGTTGTAAAGGTTCTGGTAGTCGGCGCGAGGAATGTTGATGAACGAGTGCGAGGTGCCGCTCTTGGTGTGGACCACGAGGTCGCAGGTCTTAGAGACCTTCTTGGACGATGCGTCGTCGACACGGGCAAACTCGACCGAGGTGATCTCGGAGAAGCGGATGTAGAGCGCGGGCTTGTGGATGAAGAACATGGAGCGGGCGAGCGGGAAGAGGAGCCCATCCGAGGCGCCGACGGAGCAGCGGACCGCCTTGGAGCCGTCGCTGGCAAAGAACCCGTCCTGCGAGCTTGGCGCAGCAATGGTCCGGCCGACAAAGTGCTTGATGATGAGTGGGACAACCTCGAAAATGGCGCCACTCATCTCGGGCTCGAGCGGCTCGGTCGTGAACTTGGTAAACCGCTCGTTGATTTCGTCCTGCGTCATGTTGAGCGAGACCGAGATCGAGTCCGAGGTCTTGAACGAGACCAGCAAGTGCGGGTACCGGGTCTGGCCCTGGCGGATCGGCGGGTCGAGCGAGATGACAAGCACAACAGACTTCTCGTCGGGCGGCGGGAGAAGGTACAGCCGAGTCACCGTCGAGTACATGATCTTGTGGTCCTGCGCCCGGCCACGAAGAATCATGAACTTGCTGTACATCTCAAAGGTGAACCGGCCGCGCGGCGTCTTGAGCTGCATCTGCTCGAGCGTGCAGAGCGCGGCGCCAGACGCCAGCTCCAGATCGCCTTCCTCCACAACCTGTTTCCGCAGTGCGGCCGCCCGCTCGGCCCCGCTCGCAACCTCCTCGCCGTTCTCGTCGACAGACGCCGGAATGGTGAACGCGATCCGCTGCATGACCTCGATCGGCATCTCCGAGTCGTCCTGGTGAAAGTCAAAGACAAGCTCGTCCGACTTGCGGCCCTGAACCACAGCCTGTGCCACGTCTCCCAGCGGGAGCGAGAGAATGAGGCTCCCGTCCGGCGCACGCAGGTTGACCATCTTGGACGCCACACCGAGCTCGCCCCAGTTGATGCCTCGAGCCGAGACCGTGTCCTCCTCGAGCTCGACACCAAAGTGCTTTTCCACATGGGCACGGAGAACGCCCACGTCCGCCTCCTTGAACCCGCCCAGCCGGACAACAGACCCGCCACGGACGCTAATGCAGAGGGTAAACTCCCTGCCTGCCCGGAGCCACTCCAACCGCTGGATGGAGGCGACCTTGACTGTCACCACACGCTCCGTCGACGCCGACCGCCAAGCCACCCCAGCCGGGTGGAGCTTGAGGTCGCCATATTGCTAAAGTCCAGGGGGGGGGGGGGGGGGGGTACCTACCGCAGGACCCTTGGCCAGCAGTGTGATGCGGGAGATGATGAACTCGTCCCTGGTGTGGTCATGTTGGTGGAGGGGGTGGGGAGGTGAGTGGTGGGGTGGGGGGTGAGTGGGTGTGAGCGGCAGAGAGGGGTATGTGCAGCGGGTGGCGCTTGTGGCCGCTGGCAACTACGGCTGCCGGTGGCTGACCCGAGTCGCACTGTGTGTGAGCTTTTGGGGTCGAACGGGGCTCATCTCTCTCGCGCCAGATTGCGATCTGGTGCTCTCACAGAGACACATTCTTATCGCGGCACTGCTGGCATGTCCGCCAAGAGAAAGAGTCGAAGACTCCCACCGCTGCCGTCGTCTCACACGGTTGCAGCAAGTGAGCCAGGCGCCGTGGAGGAGTCGGCACTGATCGATGTGGCGCCGCTTGCGCTCAATCTCATCCTCGATGCCGTGCTGTGGCCGAGAGCAGCCGCAGGGCATCGTCACGCGCCGAACTCCTCCACGTCGGGCGAGTACTCGTTTTCGGCGGCGCACAAGGGTGTCATCGTGCCGATGCTGGCTGCAGCTGCCGGCAACGTCATCGCCGAAGACGCCAGCGCACCAACCGCCGCCATCGCCGCACTCGGCGCGGAGGCCTTCACCGATGCCATCGTCGCTGCCGCTCGCAGATGTCTCGCTGGCAATTCTATCCTCGGCACAGACTCCAGCCCGGCAGCACCGGGCGCCCGCAAGCTCGCCCGTGCGCTGCTCCGGCGCTACGATCCGGAGCGCGGTGAGGCCGACGACAACGACGAGGACGTCGGCGGCGACGAGGAGCCGCCTGCGCAAGCGCACGAGCCGGTGGCGGTAGTCCGCTTTCTCGCTTCCCTCGTGTGTGACCTTGGAGCGGAAATACCGGCGCTTTCATGGCTGGTCGACGAGCTGGTGGTGGCGCTGGCGGTGCCTGCCGCCGCCGCCTTTGCCGCCGCCGCGCCGTCGCTGCTCCCGGCGGTAGCGTGGGACGCGCCGTTTGCGGTCCTCGACGCCGTCACCTCGCTGGTTTCTGGCTTGCTTCGCAGTCAGGAAAGCCTGCTGCCACATGCCCTCAAGCTCCTTCACGCTGCCCATGCCCGGGCGCGGCTTGTGCTCGGCGACGCTGTCCGTGCCGCCGCCGCCGCCCTCCCGCTCACTGCTCTGCCCTCGCTCACGACGCTCGTTGTCACAACCGCGGCAGCAGTCCGGCTTGCCGACGCGGATGGAGCGGGGAGCAAGCGTGATCCAGCGTCTGCTCTTGTGCGGGCATGGCTCGATCTTGTCGCCGCCCTCGCCGCGCCGCTCACCGAGTACCTCGCGCTGCAGCTCGCGCCACCGGCCGGCCGCATCTCGCCGCTCGGCTCGGCTGCCGCTGCGCTGGTACACGTCAGCGTGCTGGTCCGATCTCTTGCCGCTGCTGCAGGTGCGAATCTTCAGCCGCTGGAGATTCGCGTGGTAGTGGCGGCGCTCGACGCTGCGCTCGACGCTGCGCTGGCGGACGGCCTCCTTGCGCTGGACCCGAGTCATCCGGCGGCTGCAGCCCACGACGGCTGCGACGTCCTGCTCGCAGCAGCAGCGCTTGAGAGCGCCATGGCGAACGCAAAGGCCGACGCTGAGTCGGCGCTGGCGCACGACGCTCGGGCCTCGGCAGAGTGGGCGGCACTGGCGGCGGTCGAGGAGCAGCGAGCGAGCACCTGGCGCGAGACACTCCCACATCTCCTTGCGCCGCTGCTCCACGTGTGGATCGAGGCCACACGCGCACAAATCGCCGAGTGGACAACGTCTGCACTGCTGGCCGACACGCTGACGCCGGTCGATCCGGGCGGACAGGTCACGACCTCGTCGTCGTTCATTGACCTGTGGTGTCTTGTCGACCAGGCACTCGCGCCGCTCCGCAAGCACGCGCGCCTGGTGACAAGCTCAGTCCAGCGCGATCTGGCAGCGCTCATCCACGATGCGCTTGTTGGGTATGTCAACGCGATGGCGCGGGCAGTGGTGCCTGCGGCTGCGCCTCACGATGCTGCGCATGCGTATGCTGACGCGCCACGCGAGTGGATGGTCGGGTGCCTGGACGTGGCTGTTGCACGCGCGAGACATGCAAAGGCCTCTGGCCGCAAAGCCAAGAAGGCTGCTGCTGCAGCCGCTGCCGCTGCTTCTAACATCGGTGCTGATGCCGTCGCACTCGCTACAGGTCCGGCGGCGCTGGCGCATGCAGCTGGCGGAGACGACGCCATTGCTCTACTGCCAGGAATGGTGGCTCTGCTTGACGAGTCGCTGCCGGCCATTGTGGCGCTCAACAACATTGATGGGAGTCGGAGCAAGCTCAACGAGCTTGTGAACGCGCTTGGGGCGAGTTGGACGACAAAGCTGCGCTGCCCGAGGCGGCCATGGCGCTCGAGGCGACGCTCGGCGAGCTTGCACCGTTGCGGCGGCGGGCGATGCGGGTGGCAGCTTGGCCATGTGCACAGGCACTGTGCGCGCTGGTTGGTGTGGGGCTAGGCGACGAGCGCGTCGCACCAGCAACGCTGGCTCGAGCTGGATGTTCCATCTTGGACGCGCATCTCGAGGCCTGGGTAGACGCAGCACGGGCGCGGGTGTTTGACGGCCTCCTTGCGGCGACGTGGGTCAGTGTGAATGCGGTGCTGTATGCGGTTTTGGTGCCTGGCGGCCGCGACGGACGCGCTGGGCGTGGCATTGCTGTTGATGCCGAGGTTCTGGGCGCGGTGTGTGCGCTCCGCGATGCTGCCGAAGACCTGTTTCACGCCTCTGGCGAGGGGCTCGGGGTGGGCCGACTGCGGCGGGCATCCGCGCTTGTGGGCTCACTCGTTGAGCTTCACCAGCTTGACTCTGATACGCTCGTGGCGTCTTACCACTCGCTGGCAGAGACCGAGGCGCTGGCGGCTGCGGCGGGAAGTGGAACTGGGCGCGATCGTGTTGAGCGGGCGCACCTATATGCTGTGCTTAAGGGCCGTGCTGCGGGCGTGGGAGAGGCGCGGGACGAGTGTGCGCGGCGGTTTGTGGGCATCCGCGAGCGGCAGCGCGCCAAGTTTGGCGTGCGGTGAGTAAAGGTAGTTTACGAGCTTGGAGAGGGCACATCCTCAGCGGCGGCGTCGTTGAGCGCAATGGCGCAGACGGCCTTGTGATGCTTGGCGTACTGGCGGATGGTCTCGCCCTGGGCGACGTTCCAGAGGCGGGCGACCTGGTCAGATGAGGCCGAGGCGATGTAAGCCGAGTCTGCCGAGAAGACGCAGTCCCAGACCCAGCGCTTGTGGCCGACGAGGGTCTGCGACAGCTCAAAGGACGCGACGTCGTCGGCGTCGTAGGCGACGGACCAGAGCTTGATGGTCTTGTCGGCCGAGGCGGTGGCGAGGGTGGAGCCGTGCGGCGAGAAAAGGACCTTGAGAACGTAAGTGTCGTGTGCAGAGAACTTGGAGGCGAGGCCGTAGAAGCCGGACTCTGTCGGCGACGCAGAGTACACGTGCACATCGCCCGAGTTGTTGGCAGTGACAACCGAGACGCCGTCGGGGTCGACGGCAACGGAACGCAGAGCGGTTCCGGCCGAGCTCGTGTCAGAGAAGACGCACTTGTCGGCGACGAGGTCAAAGACCGAGAGGTTCCCGTCCTGGTCGGCGGTGAGCAGCTCGCCCTGGTTCGGGTGGAGGATGGCGTGGTTGACCGCGGCGCCAACGTCGTAGTTACGCTGGCAGCCCGAGGCGCGGAGGTCCCAGATCTTGAGCGACCCATCCTCTGACGCCGTGTACATCCAGTTGCACTCAGAATGAAAGCCGACAGCCGTCACGTTCCCAGTGTGGCCATCGTACGATGTCACTGGGTTCGGATGCTGTGTGTGGACCTCGTACATGCGGATCGACGGGTTGCCCGCCGCCGCAATATGCTCCCGGTCCGGCGTGATCGACAGCGCATTGACTTGCTGTGCGTCAAACACAGCCATCACATCCCCATCAGCAAGTGCATCATCATCAACAACAACAACAACAACAACAACAACAACAACAACAACAACAGCAGCAGCAGCAGCAGCAGTACCAACCATTACAAGTCCACCCAATATTCCCAATTCCCAGCCGTTGCATACGGATGCGTACACATACCAGAGACACAGGCGAACACAGACCAATACGCAGAGAGAGCGAGGCACACACGCACACCATAAACACATCCCCGTACCCACACACACACACACATATACAGATACACACACACACACCATGTAAGTCCCCTCCCCATCCCTCCCCCTCCCCCTCCCCCTCCCCTCCCCCTCCCTTCCTGGTCCGTACCGAGTCCGGGTGCTGCAGCGTCCGGTGGCAGGTGCCCGACGGCTCCCAAAAGCGAATGGTATGGTCGTAGCCAGCGGTAGCCAGGATGACTGTGAGAGGCATGGTGTGGTGTGGTAGGGGGTGAAGGGGGTGGGGTGAAGGGGGTGGGGTGGGAGGGGGGGGGAGGGGGGGAGTGGCGTGGTGGGTGGTATGGGTATGGTGTGTCGTTGTCGTCGTCGTCGTCGTCGTCGTCGTCGTTGTCATCGTCGTCGTCGTCGTCGTCGTGCCCTTCCCTCGCCACCACCCCTCCTGACGCCCGGAGGAGCCAACCACTCCACCACCACTACCACCACTACCTCCATGTCCACTCCAGAGCCACCTCCGCATGCCCATGATGACACTCCTCATGCCTCTCCCTCGGGCCAGGCTCTTTCTCAGACGGGCGCCTCTGCCGACGGCGAGGCCTACCTCAGCACACTCCCGCCTGCTCCCCATGCTCATGACCAAGAAGCCAGAGACCATGCTGGCCATCCTGCTGACTATTCTGGTCGCCGTGACCACCCTCGGCCTCGTGATCCTAATCCTCGTCCTCGTGATCCTAATCCTCGTCCTCGTGAGTATCCTCCTCGAGCCGATGATCGCCATCGCGGCCCGCGCCACGACGACCGCCGTGACTACGCCCGCCCTCGCCACTACGACCGCCCCCGCGACTACGACCGCCCCCGCGACTACGACCGCCCCCGCGACTACGACCGCCCTCGCGACTACGACCGCCACCGTGACTACGACCGCCCTCGCGACTACGACCGCCCTCGCGACTACGACCGCCCTCGCGGCTACGACGACGATCGTGCCCGTGATCGCGGTCGCGAGAGCTACGCCCGCCCGCAGTACTCGCATGATGAAGAGCCGCGCGGCGACCGGAACCGGAACCGTGACGCATATCCGCCGCCTGCACCCCGCGACGACCCACTCCCGCCACCCACCCGCCCGTCGGTCCTCGATCGGCTTGGCGACCGCGGCCGCTCGCCTGCGCCACCGCTGCCACCGCCACGCGCGAGATCGCGCTCGCGCGACCGTGACCTCCGCCGCCCGGCATATCCACCGGCCGACCGTGGCTACGACCGCGGCCACAACCGCGACCGGGGCCATGGCCGCGACCGCGGTTACGACCGCAGCCGTGGCTACGACCGCGACCGTGGTGATCGCGACCGAGGACGGAGCCAGCGCGCCACGCCGCACGACGATGATGGCTACAAGCAGCGGCGCGAGGCCAAGGCGTTCAAGACCCGGATGTGCAAGATGGTCGAGCGCGGCGAGCCGTGCCCGCGCAGCAACGACTGTCCCTTTGCCCACCATCCATCCGAAATCCGCCAGCACCCCTCGTATAAGACTCGGATGTGCAAGGCTGTCCTCAACGGCGGCGCATGCTCCAACCCGTCGTCCTGCAACTTTGCCCACACGCGCGACGAGCTCCGCACTGTCGGCAACACTGCCCCCGCCAGTAGCCAGTAACCACGACTTGCAACCCGCAACCTCCATTCCACGTCGAGCACACATGAGATCGCAGTGCACCCGCCATCATCACCCGCCATCATCGCCATCCGCGACAGCCGCGACGACAGCCGCGACGACAGCGATGCTCCACCCACACCCCCTCCATCGCCAACCCCCACCCCATCACCTGCTCATCACGTTGCTCTCCCTCCCTCCCCTTCCCCCTCTGCACTCGGCACCCTTTAACCATACCCTCATCATCCATCGAAGCGCCACCCTTCTCCAAGGCTTCCTCGCCCGCCCTCCACCCAAACCGCCACGGATCCCCCTCGCGCCGTCCCCGCCACCATTTGTCGCACCACCCACCATGCTCGACATTGTCATGTTCCGCGAGGACCAGGGCGGTGAGCCCGAGAAGGTATGCCCCTTGCTCCCTCTCTCCCTCCCTTCCCCTATCCCCTCCCCCCCCCCGTCCCCCCTCATTCCCCTCCCTACCCTGCCCCTGCCCTCCATGACGTGGGATGAAAATTCCGCACACTGTCCCTCCTCCTCCTCCTCCCCCCCCTACCCCTCCCCACATACTCACACACACCGCTGCCTACGAACAGATCCGTGAGTCGCAGCGTCGCCGTAACAAGTCGGTTGAGATTGTTGATGAGGTCATCGCTCGTGATACCGAGTGGCGCGCCCGTACGTGATGTGGTGTGATGTGATGTGACGTGATATGATAGAGGCCAGTCATGGTGCTGGTCGTGGCAATGGCCGGGTGGTGCCGAGGTAGACAGAGTGGACGGGAGACTCACGAGTGTTTGTCGTGGAGGATGACAGTCCGCGGGAAGATCGACGACATGCGCCGCGAGGCTGGTGTCATCCAGGGTGCGATCACCACCAAGCGCAAGGCTAAGGAGTCTGCGGATGAGGAGATCGCACAGCGCAAGGCGCTGATGATCGAGGTGGGCAAGAAGGAGGCCGAGCTGGCCGAGCTTGCCCTCGCGCGTGACTCTGTCCTCAAGACCATCGGTAACATTGTGCACGATTCCGTGCCTGTGGCCTCCGATGAGGTCCACAACGAGGTTGTCAAGACGTGGGGCAAGTTTGAGGCGCCCGAGGGCGTGACCCTCCTCAAGCACCACCACGAGCTGCTCCGCATGATCGGCGGGTACGACCCGGAGCGCGGCGCCAAGGTTGTGGGCCACCGCGGGTACTTTTACACCGGCCCCGCGGTCCTCCTTAACCAGGCCATCATCAACTACGGTATCGCCTTTGCCGGCGCCCGCGGGTACATGCCGCTGCAGACCCCGTTCATGATGCTCAAGTCGCAGATGTCCAAGACTGCCCAGCTCGAGGACTTTGACGAGGCGCTGTACAAGGTTGTCGGCGACGCTGATGAGGGCTCTGCCAACGAGAAGTACCTCATCGCCACTTCGGAGCAGCCCATCTCCGCCTACCACTCGGACGAGTGGATCAAGGAGGCCGACCTTCCCATCAAGTACGCCGGCTACTCGACGTGCTTCCGCAAGGAGGCCGGCGCCCATGGCAAGGACGCCTGGGGTGTCTTCCGCGTCCACCAGTTCGAGAAGGTCGAGCAGTTTGTCCTCACCACCCCCGACGAGTCGTGGGAGATGCTCGAGGAGATGCTCGCCACCTCGGAGGACTTTTACCAGTCGCTCGGCCTCCCGTACCAGGTCGTCACCATCGTCTCGGGTGAGCTCAACAACGCCGCCGCCAAGAAGTACGACCTCGAGGCCTGGTTCCCCACCCTCGGAACCTTCCGCGAGCTCGTCTCGTGCTCCAACTGCACCGACTACCAGTCGCGCGACCTCGAGGTCCGCTGCGGCGTCAAGAAGCAGGGCGCTCGCAACAAGAAGTACGTCCACATGCTCAACTCGACCCTCACCGCCACGTCGCGCACCCTCTGCTGCATCCTCGAGAACTACCAGACCAACGACGGTGTTCGCGTCCCCGAGGTCCTGCAGCCGTTCCTCGGTGGCATGGACTTTATCCCCTTCATCATGCCCATGCCCAAGCGCCCCAAGGCCAAGAAGAACAAGAAGCAGAAGAAGTAACTAGCCTTGCCACGCTGCCATTCGGCTCTGGCTTACCGTGTAGTAAACCGCTGTCCCGCTGCCCGCCCTCGCCCCCCCCCCCCCTCCCCTCCCCTACGCTCACCGCGACGTCTGCGTCGCCGCCTCGCGCCACAGCGTCGGCGCGAGCTTGTCGGCAAACACCTGCTCCTCGCGGATGACCTGCTCCAGCAGCAACTCAACACTCTCGACGTGCGCGTCAATCTTGGCCGCCACAGCCCAAACCATGCCGCACACCAACAAGTAGCCAAAGGCGCCGGCCTCGCTCCACCTGCCGTCAGGCTCGCGGGCCAGCGAGAGCACGAGCACATGCAGCGGCGAGAACAGCCTCACCGCCGACAGCAGCGCCTCAGCCGGCCACCACACCCGCAGCACCAGCGCCTGCTTGGGCGCCACGCTTGATCCCTCGTCCGATCGCTCAAACCGAGGGCCCGAGTCAAGACCAAGCGCGCCGACGACAGCCTTCATCCACCGCGCGCCCGCGGCCGAGCTCTCCTTCGCCGGCACCATGGCCATCGGCGGTGTGTAGTCGACCACCGACAGTGCACCGTGTGCCGGAAGGCCGTCCTTTGCCACCAGCGATGCCCTCCAGTGGAAGAGCGTGTACTCTCGGCTCGCCACCATGGCCATCGCCGTCATGCCCGCCGCCACCAAGCCCAGCACCACCCTCACCACCGTCGACTCGCTCACCGCAAACGCCGCCGCCATGACAAGGCCGCACAGTGAGCCCGGAACAGACACGCCAGAGACCGAGAACGAGACCCGCCCCATGACCACCGCACACGTCGAACCTCGCCTCCAGCTCCAGCTCCAGCTGGTAGAGAGGTAGTGGCCAGTCATAGCCGGACCGCGGTCGCCCATCATGGCCTGCGCCGAGTCGCAGTCACTGCCAGGACACACGCCGAGGCCATCAGCATCGCCATCGCCATCAGTACGGCCACCAGTATCACTGGCAGTGCCGCCTATGTCGCCACTCGTATCGCCATCAGCATGGTCATCGCCTTCACCACCACCACCACCACCACCACCACCACCACCACCATCACCATCACCACCACCACCATCACCATCACCACCACCACCATCACCATCCCCATCCACCCTACACACCCACACACCCACACACAAACACACACACACACCACCATCATCCCCATCCCCATCCCCAATCCCCACCCCACACCCCCTCCCCACCACTCCACCGCCCCTCCGCCCTCCGCCCTCCGTCACCCCACTCCCAACTCACCCCACACCCCACGCCCCACTCCAACCGCAGACATGACACGGGCAGGGAGGGCGAGAGGGGGCAGAGAGGGGGGAGACGAGGCAGGCTCGCTCTCCCTGTCGTCTGGCTCTGGGGAGAGTGAGAGTGAGACGGGCACCGGGCGCTTGAAGACATCGATGAACGAGCTGGAGGCCTACTCCAAATTATCGCTCTCGACTCGCAGAGGGTCCGGAGATGAGACCGATACCGATTGGTCACGTGATGGCACAGAGTGGACAGAGGGCTACTCGGACGAGATCGCCATCGATGACGACAGAGTCCTGGTCGTCGAGTATGAGTCCTCTGTCGACGACATCGACAATCACCACGACACCATTGCTGTCCATCTCTCGCATACACATCCCGATGACTCTCGCGCGCTTGCCCGTGCTTGGGACGCAGCCATCACCCGTCTCTATGCGCCACTTCAGAACATCGCTCCCGCACTCCACCCGCCTCCTGCATCGGCCGCTGCGCCTCGCTCCCGCCGAGCTCCGTCGCGCCTCGTTGCCGCTCCGCGTGCCATCGCCGACGAGATTGATGTCTGGCGTGCCACACGCCCCATGCTCCGCACAGAGGGTACCTCGCTGCTGCCGACACTCTCCGCGGATGGTGACGACGCTCCGCCTGCTGCCACCATCGTCTCGCCGCCGCCGTCGCATCCGCTCGCCGCCGTTCCCTCGCCAACCTCCATGGCCGGGCTGCTCGTCGCCGGATCTCCGCCGCCACGCGCGACTGCTGAAGACTACGGCTTGGCGGATGAAGAGCTCTTTGCCGCCGACGGCGTCGTCGAGGAGATGCTCGCGCTTGGCCCGCCGCCGCTTGACCTTGCTCAGCCGCCATCGGCATTTGCCTCGCGTCGCCACTGCGGCGGCGTCGGCTCCTCGCGCCGCCTCTCCTATTTTTCCTACATAGCCAAGCGCCGCGAGCGCGCCGGCTTTCCACCGCTGGATCCGGCACCGTCGCTCCGCGGCCAGATTCTCGACAGCGTCTTTGATGTTATCTGGCGTGCTGTCGCGCCCGTTCTCGCCCCACTCGCTCGTGACATGCTCACCCCGCACTCGCCATCGCTCCCATCGCCGCCACGCCCGCCGCCGCCGGTCTCCTCATCGCCACTCCCGCCGCTTGATCTGGCCCCGCAGCCGCGGGCCGCCCCACCAGAGCTCGTTGCCAGCCAGCCGGCGACGCCGCCGGGCGTGGTCCGGCTCGACGCCCGGTCGCTGCCCCGCCGCTCGCCGCTGCGTCCACCGCGCCCATCGCGCGCCGCACCGCCGCGTCGCACCGTCGCTCGTGTCCCACCGCCGCTCTCGGTCCTCGGCTCGCGGCCGACCGCGCTGCCGGCCCGCCTCCCGCCGCAGCCGGCTGGCCCGCCCCACCGCGCTCGGTCGGTCGCCTCGGCCTCGCACGCCCAGCGCCTCCCGCCGCTCGGTCGTGACCGTGCAGACATGGGCGTCCACGGCCGCTCCGTCCGCCGCCTCTCGCCGCTCCCGCCGCCGTCGAGCCGCCCACCGTCGGCCGTACTTCCGCCGTCGGCCCGCGCCTCGCGCCCACCTACCCCCTCGTCGCTCGGTCCTGCCCTCACCATCCGCCCGGTCACCGTGCAACACCGCGCCCGCCCGCGCCCGGCCTCGCGCACCCTCCGCGACCGCTCGCACTTTACTCCTGGCCGCCCGCTGCCTCCAGCCGCGTCCGCTGCCCCTCGTCGCCAGTCGCGTCCGGCTCGTCCGGCTCCTCATCCGCGGCCCTGACTACTGTCCAACGCTGGCGTGCTCATTACATCGAGCGGGACGTCCTCGTCCGATTCGACAAACAAGTCGACTGACGATGAGATGCGCCTAGATGAGCGGCCGATGCCGCTGGGCGAATCGATCTGGCTGCGCTCGCGTCCCAAGCCCGAGCCGCCGCTTACGGTCGCCCACCGCGGCATGACCTCCTTGTTCGATGGAAACCCGGCATCCATGCCGTCGCTCGTCTCGCTGTTGGTCATGCTCCCTTCGTCGCCACCGGCATCATCGCGGAACCTCGAGTGAACGTGGTACATCGGCACCGCAAGCTCCGGGTGCTCCAGATCCGGGACATGCCGCGAGAGGAGGGTAAGAAACTCCGTATCGCGGAGAGTGAGCGAGCTGCCGCCGCTACTTCGCCCGCTGCCAACCCGCCGCTGCTCCCGCTTGTGCTTCACCGTCGTCCCGATCTCCTCGGCCGCTGCTGCGAGGAGGACTAGGATCGAAATCGAGATTGCTGCCATCGCCACAACCGCGACCACCACGTACGTCGTCTGGTTCGGGAACTTGTTGGCCCAGAACAGGACGCCGCAGGTGAGTAAGACCACAATCGCCGCGCTCAGTCGCGCCTCGAGCGTGTTGTGGACTGGGAAAAAGAACGGCGCGTGCTTGAGCTGGAACGTGCGGTACGAGAGGAAGATGACAAACAGACCGCCAAAGAGCCACACCTCGATCCGCGAGAAAAACAGCGCCACGCACACAATCATCAGCCGCTTGACCAGCTGCGCAACTTCGAACCAAAAGTACGCACTGCGATACTGCAGGTAGATCGGCCCGTACCGGAGCTGGACCTGCGGCTCGCCGAGCCGGCCTCGGTTTCGCCACAGCACCGTAGCAAAGAACAGCGGCAGCGCTGCCACATACAGCACAAGCGCCACGAGCGCAATCGGGAACAGTCGCATCCACGTCCCCACAAAGCACTGCTCGTCAAGGTTGGCATCGAGGTAATAGTTGCCGTCAGGCAGCCGCGTGCAGTCGAAAAACACAAGCGCAGACTTGCAGACCGGGATGTAGAGGAGCGGGCCAAACGAGAACAGCACCCGTCCGGCCAGCGTCCACCCCGAAATCGTCGCCATCCGCGTCCGCGCCGCACACGCCATGCATCGTCCGAGCGCCTTGACTCCGGCCACAATGGCAACCATCCACCCAGCAAACACCAGCGGGACCGCCACAGACACCAAATACCGCGTCGCAAAGTCCTTGATGGTACAATCGGTCGAGAAAATCGCGAGGTCCACGTTGGCCACGTTGGCCGCGCGCAGCGCCTTGCGCACAGGCGTCTCCGGCCAGTTGAACGGCGCGTCAGCAAGGAGACCCAAGATCTGGATGTACACCAGCGCCACTGAGAGCGCATGCGGAATGAGCTTGGTCCGCTCAGACTGCGGCGGCGCCGGCCGCGCCTCGCCGCCCTGCTCCACCACGCGGGTGGTGAAGACCACCACGCACACTGCCGCCATCGCCACAATCGCAATGCCAAATACAAACGCCCAGAACCGAGAGAGCGAGCCCGTTGGGCAAGGCTTGCATGTCCCGTCCGAGAATCGGTACGCACTCGGCGCACACAGCCGGCACAGGTACCCGTCTGGCTCGTAGCCCGGCCCGCATTCGATCGTCGCACGCCCGCCGAGGCAGGCAGAGCCGATCGGACACGCCGCAAACGTCGGCACGTCATCGATCTGCTTCCATCCTGGCTGTGCTACAGGTGCCGCGTACCCGCCGTCGCACTCGGCCCCTTCGGACACGCTCGGCACGGCTCCGTCACCACAGCCTCTGGAGTCCACGTCCCGGCCTCACACTCGCACGGCACAAGATGCGTAGCGTTGTTCTGGCTCGGTCGCTGCGAGAGCGCTGGACAAGGCGGAATCGCGCGGCAAGCACCCGCAGTCTCTTCGTCCGAGTAAGAGCCCTCATCGCACGCCGAGCACACAAGCACGCCGCCGCCGAGCCCGCTCGAGCTATCCGCTCCAAGCCCACGCGAGCAGAGTCCAATGTTCACGCCCACGTTCATCTCAATCACCACCACCCCGCTCGCCACCTCGGTCCTGATCCGCAGCCGAAGCGTGCCCGTGTGCGGGAGAACCGCCACAGGCACAGCAAGCGCCACGCCCTGCAGCGGCGCCTGCCCGGTCACCCCCGAGAACCCGATCCCGACCTCGGCGCCGGTCACAACAATGCCGGCTCCGCTTGACTCGGTCACATCGAGCACGAGGCCGTCGTCAACAACAAGCTGCCCGTATCCGTCATAAGCAACTGCGTAGCCGGCACCGAGCGCCACGCCCGACGACACGCCCATCGGCATCTGCATAGAGGTGAGTGCAACCGGAGGTGTAGCAAACAGTTGTCCGTACCCGCCGCTCGTGCCGCTCACTCCCCCCACCACAGGCGCCAGCAGCCACGACTCGCCTTGAGGCGCGCTACCGTCGCTAAGGAGACAGTAGAAGCCAAACCCGCCACCAGTGCTCGCCTGCGGCACGCCGCTCATGCTCAATGCCCGCGCATCAACGACCGCGCCGCAGCCAAACAGTCCACCGCCGTACACCGCCTTGTTGTGACCGAGCACCGCGCCAGCCTCAAACGCAATCGTAGCATTGCCGGTGCCGCTTCCGGCTGGCGCACGCGCGAGCGCCGCAGACGAAAACGTGCTGAACGCCGGCACAGTGTAGCTTGCGGCCATGGCGGCGATGCCGCCGCCGGCGCGCGCACTGTTGTCGGCAAACACCGAGCCACTGGAGCTCACCACCTCGACGCCCGAGCCGGCAAAGGCGGCCAGGCCGCCGCCGAGCTTTCCGGCCGTGTTCGAGCACACCAAGGTATCGCTCAGCGTCAGCCGAACGTCCTCAGCCGCAGACTCGATGAGCATCCCGCCGCCACATCCACTTGGCGCGTGGTTGTCGACCACCTTGCTTCCTTCCGTGAAGCTCACACTACCGCCGCGCGAGAGGACTGCCACCGCGCCACCGCCATCGCCAAGCGCCTCGTTGTTGACAAACGTTGTCGCCACAAACGACGCAGTCGGCTCGTCGCCAAGCAGCGCCACCGCGCCGCCAGTCGTCTTGGCCGAGTTACCGGCAAAGGTCGAGCCAATCACCTCCAGCCGCCCGCCATCGGTCACCGCCACCGCTCCGCCGTGCCCGCCGAGGTACTGGAACGGCGACGCACTCACCGACGAAAAGCCGGAGACGGTCACGTTGATCAGCCGCAGAATTGCGCCCGCTCCCGAGACCCGCAGGCCGGTCGATGCATCAAAGCTGGCCGCAATCGTGGCGCCCTCGAGGTCCACGTCCGAGATGACCAGCTTTGCTCCAGCCTCGACCTTGAACATGACGCCGCCATCGCCACCGCACGAGAGCACCGGCCGGTCGCTCGCAAAACCCCAGGTGGCCCAGCAATGGTCCAGTCGACCCCGCTCGGCACCACCAGATAGCCCGATGCCGCGCAACCGCGCGCCACCATCCCGGCTGGCAGATCCAGCCGCTGCGCCGAGCACCGCGAGGCTGTGTTGAGTTCGTAGTGCAGCTGCGGAACCGTCGGTGATAGTCCGGGTGCGAGCTCCGGCAACTTTGCACGCTCCACAGCAGCCGACAGCAGCCGCTGCTGATACACTGCAAACACCATGTTCTCGCCGGACGCCGCTACCAGAACGTCATTGAGTCCATCCGAGTTGACGTCGGCGATGGAAATCTCAAAGATATTGTCGTACGTGCCAAGGACGGTCTGCGGAGAAAAGCTGCCACTCCCGTCGTTGCGGTACCACACCAGCGGCCCCGGCTCAGCGTAGTCGCCAACAACAATGTCAACTGCGCCGTCGCCGGTTACATCGCCGCACGCCACAGCCCACGGCTCAGTGTAAGTTCCGCCGAGCGTAATCGGAGGCGCAAAGCTGAGTGTACCCGCCCCCGTCTGCTGGTAGAGCACCACTTTGGGCACCGGGTCCAGGAGGCCTACCACCACGTCGATGCCGCCGTTGGCGTCGACATCGCAGAGCGCGACAGAGATCGGATCGCTGCTGGGTGCGTTATCAATGATGGTGGCGGGAGCAAAGGTTGTCCCGTTCAGGTTGCGTATGTACGCCACCTTGCCGGAAAAGCCCTCGACAACCACCACATCCGGTCGGTTGTCATTGTCCAAGTCGGCCACCGCAACGTCGACATACAGATATTCGTCCCACACTGCTGGCGTGTAACGGTAGAGCAACAGCTCAGTCCAGCTTGCGCCACCGTCGATGTTGATAAACGCCTTGACGTCGGCCTCAGGGTCCATGCACACCATCACCACGTCCGGTAGTCCGTCGCCGTTAAAGTCTGCCTTGCGGACCCGGCGCGCCTCAAGCCCGCACGTCCCGACCGTCCGCGGCGTTGTTTCAAACACCCCGTCACCGGTGTTGCGCCACCAAGTGACCGGGTGCGAGACATCCTCGTAGCCGGCGAGAGCGTCAAACAGGCCATCGCCGTCGACATCGACCGCAACCACTGCGCCGGGGGTGAGGGTGATGTCCTTGTGAATGGCCTGCGAGACCCGTCCTTCGGCGCCGTTGGAGCCCTGGAACGAGCCGCGCCCGTCATTGAACCAAACTGTCACCGACCGATCGAGCCATGACGCGACGAGCGTGTCGACAAAGCCGTCGTTGTTAAAGTCGACCACGTCGACGGCCTGTGCCCCCTCGGTGGTGGCTGTCACAATCCGCGGCGTCGCAGTCAGCGGCGAGGCGCTCGCCGAAAAGGTGTAGTACACCACCTCGCCGGTCGACTCACTCACCGCCCCGGCATCAACCTGCCCGTCGCCGTCAAAGTCCCCGACAACAGCGCCATGCGGCGCCGTGAGCGCAGACATCTTTTGCGGCGGCAGCACAAACGTGCCGCCGACCTCGGCCGGAATCCAGCCGACGAGATCCGAGCCTGACGCCACGTACACAATGTCGAGCCAACCGTCGCCAGAGACGTCGCCGAGCGCAATGGTGTACGGAAGCATATGGGCGGCGCCGATGGTCGCCGGCTGGGTAAACAACATGCTTCCCAAATTGTAGTACACCCGAATGACACTGTCCTCCGTGATGGATGCCACAATGTCCAGGTCACCGTCCTGGTCAAGGTCGCCGACGGCAAAGTTGAACACGCCGTCGGCGAGGTAGTCGACGACAGCGGCCGACGTCGCCAGCACCGAGTCGATGTCAGACCGCCCGGGAAGAATAACCACCATGTGGGTGTCTGAACAAACGTAGATGATGTCGTCAAAGCCATCAGCGTCCATGTCATGGACCGCAACTTGCCTCGGCGACACAATGCTGTAGATGCCGCCTAGGCTGGAGGTCAGATCATCGCTCGACGCTGCAAACGTTCCGGTGCCTGTGCCGAGAAAAACGCCCACAAAGTCTCCCCAGAACGCTGTGTAGACAACGTCGATCATGCCGTCAGCGTTGATGTCGCCAATCGCTGCAGAGTACGGGTCGGTGTCCGCCATGGTGTCGAGAACTGTCGGCACGTTGGGAAAGGTGGCGTCGTGCCCGACGTTCCAATAGATCACTACACTGTCGGTGTCGCCCGAGTATGGCACAATCACGTCCGGGCTCCCGTCTCCATCTGCGTCCTCGGCCACAAGGAGGAACGGCTCCTCCTTAGTGTTATCGACGAGACTAGGGGCATTCCATCCACCGCCACCGGTCCTGGTGATGACATACACCCCATTGTTGGTAAAGTCGATGACAGCCACGTCCAGATAAGCCGTTCCGGCGTCGAGCATGCTTGCCACCATTCCCGTTGGGTTCGAGATGGCGCCACTCATCAGATTGCTGCTCGGCTCGACGTACTCAATGACGCAGTCGCCGCTCGCGACGTATCCAAGCCCGACGAGCAAGAGCACCAGGACAGGGAGCAGCGCAACATTGCCACCACCACTACGCACCCTCCGCTCAGCCCTCCCAACATGTCCTCGACTCTTGCGGCCAGCCATGGATCCCCATGCCAACTCTAACCTATAAAGCATGTCCCCGATCGCACAGCTCCGTCGTCAATGTGCTCTTTGTCGGCCTTTTTGGCCAAAGGACAGACAACGAAAAAGCCGTCAAAAAAAGGTTCTTCCGTCCGCCGCAACACCTTCCAGCAGCCACCACAGCGAGCTCTGCTCAGCGAATGCGCAAGTGGTGGGTGTGAGGACGTGCTTCGCCTCGCGTACGTGTGATTGGTATGGCTTGACAAACTCAAGTTGAATGGTAACGTGTTCGCTGAAAGGGGGGGGTAGTGCGGCGGGGCAGCGGCGGGGGAACAGCGTGGGGCTCGGCTGGTCGACCGAGTCGGCGGTTGGTTGGTCAGCGACTGCTGCGAGTCGCCAACACTCGCGGCCGGCTGAGCGAAGCGAAGCGGCTGACACCATACTTTGCATAGAGCTCCGATGGCGTCGACAGAGTCGGCTACGACGGAGCGGGATCCCACCCACTCACCCTTTCTGATGACGATGCGCGACGATGATGACCACGCGCGCCCTCTGGGCGCCCAATTCTCGTGTGTACGTGGGCCATCGAACGGCGTTCGCGTACACGCGGCTGACCGTGCCAATTGGGACGATGTGCTGGCAAAGATGGTCACCACAGTAAATGCGAGGAAATCAAGCCGTCGAACCCAGCGGAGCGACCGCTCGCCCGGCCACCGAGAGAGTGTTTCGGCCGGAGAACGAGCATGAGCGGTAGAGGGTGATGGGCTGGGCGATGGGAGATTGGGTGACGGAGCTGGAGGGGGGGGGTCAGCGTATGGACTGAAGTATGGGTAGTGGTTGTCGTATGGGTGGGAGAGGGGTGGGATCATGGGATGTGTCCATGTGTGGCAATGTGTGGGGGAGGCGGGCATCCTGGCACAAGGCGACAAAAGATCATTGAGATCACTCACTTGGCACATGAGCAACCAACCAACACGCTCAGTGTCTCCGGCATCAAACCTGCGCCGATTGGCACGTGGACTCGTACAATAGAGCTGCTGCAACCCAAAGAGCGGTAAAGGAGTAAAGCGGATAAGTGTGCCAATCGTTCTAGGTCATGTGCATCCAATAGCCTGATGTTCTTTCTCCCCACGCGCGTCGCAGGCGCCTACGACCGACACACCTCGGACATCCAAGGCAAAACCAAACGGAGGTTACGAAGAGCACTACTAACACGACAAAACCAGCAGCGCAACCACAGAACACCATGCTGCTCCGAGGCAGCAATCCATCCGTCACATCGTAGCGATGCGATCTTGTGCCATGGCCTGTGTGACGGCGCGCAGATCTTGCCCATCTGCCATCTTGCCCCCATCAAGAGCAAGATACATGAGGTCCAGGGTGCCGTATGACAGCGATCTAGCTTTATACAACCATAGCTCGGATGGTTCGGTACCGTCGACTGACTCGGGAGCGTCAGCTGGTTCGGCACCGTCAAACTGGCTTGTTGTCACCGTCGACCGGTTAGCCCAACAGCTCGGCGCCATTTCGCCTCTTTGGCGCCAAAAACGGCAAGCAGCCAACCGGCAGCCAGCCAGCCACTACCACCCTTGGGGACGACCCAGGACCAGACCACTCGACTCGACACTACGTAGCAGGCATGGAGGTGCCACGAGCACGGGTGCCTGTGGAGCCAACTGCGCCTACTTCCCCTGTGCAGTCTGCAGGAGCACCCACTCCCGTCAAGTCGGCCACCTCCCATAGCCGGTCATGGACGACACGGCAAGGGCCGACGGGAGCTACTGGCTCGGGTGCTGGTGCTGGTGCTGGTGCTGGTGCGGGTGCTGGTGCGGGTGCGGGTGCTGGAGGCGGGCGCCTGGATGCCCGACTGGCGGCAAAGGTTCAAGCACAGGCGCGTGACTTGCTCTCGCTGACAAAGACCGTGGCGGCCTTGCGTGGCCAGCTGGCTTTGACTGAGGAGCGAGTGGCTCAGCTCGCTCCGGCCCATCCGCTTCCGGTGGAAAAGGCCCATGTGAAGCAGATGCCGCTTGCAGTTGCGGTCCTTGCAGAAGGCGATGATGCCGATGGCGGAAAGTCGGCCCGAACAGCCCGGACGCCGGCGTCGAGCGCAGCTGCGAGTGCAAAGTCGAATCGCGCTGCGAATGCCCGCATCGCTCGGCTAGAGAAGGAGCTCAAAGCAGCCAACGCTCGCATTCGCAAGCTCTTTGTCCAGCGCGACACACTCAAGGCCAAGCTCGCGGCTGGGGCGGAGAACGCTGAGCCGAACAAGATGACTCGCCCAGGTACTGCAGTGGCGACCCGCGCCGACTCGGCCGCGATCCGCAGCCTCAAGGCCGAGCGTGATGAGTTGCTGGAGAATCTCCGCGGTGAAGCACAGGTCGCTGAGGAGCAGCGTGCGTACATTAAGGTTCTCAAGTCGATGCTCGAGCAAAAGGGGCTGCACGCGGTCCAGGCCGCCGAACTCGCGGCCGAGAACGAGGCGCTCAAGGCAAGAGTGCTGGACGTCGAGTCGACGGCCCGGCTGGCACCGAGCTCGCTCCCGGACGGTGCTGCGCCGGCGTCGGCCGACGAGGAGCGTGAGGCGCTCATCGAATTTACCGAGGAGCTGCTGAGCCAGGTGGAAGAGCTGCGGACCGAACTGGACGCGGCCAAGTCCGGGTCGAGCACCTCCAACACCCCGGGCTCTGTAGACGTCGTGCGCGACGCCAACGCCGCGCTCCGCGCACAGGTCGCCGAGCTTGAGACTCTCCTCCGTGATGCCGAGGGCCAGAGTGACGCCGCCCGGAATGAGGCGAGCGCCGCCACCCAGCGGATTGAGGTTCTTGAGGCCGAGGCCGAGAGTGCCCGCCAGCAGGCGGCCGCCATGGACGAGCTGCAGGCCGAGGTCCTCGACCAGCTTGCGTCGTGCCGCGAGGCCGCCGACGCTGCGTCGGTCACCGCTGCACGGGCCGACCGGCTCGAGCGCCAGCTGGCCGACGCCCGCGAGTCTGCCGACCGCGCCGTCGCTGACGCCGACGCCGCCCGCGCACGCATTGCTGACCTCTCTGCCACCGCCCAACAGGCCAAGCTCGATGCCATGGCCCAAGTCCAGGAGGCCCAGCTTGCGGCCCAGTCGGCGGCGGCCCAAGCCGAGATGCAGCGGCAGGCGCTCACCGGCAAGGTCGAGTCACTCGAGGCTGCGCTCGACGCCGCCAAGTCGACCGTCGACTCGGCCAACGCCTCGCTCCGCGCCGCCCTCGACGACAATGCCGAGCTCTCGGCGCGAGTCGCCGCGCTCGAGCGGCGGGTGGCCAAGGCCGACGGGCGGGCCGATACCGCCGAAGCCGCCGCATCCTCGCTCCGCGAGCAGCTCGATGAGCTCGCACCGTTCAAGGACGCCGCGACCAAGTCAGCAGCCGAACTCGAGTCGGCCAAGGCGCTGGTTGCCGAGCTCTCGGCCTCGCTCGAGGAGACCGCCGCGTCCGAGGCCAAGCTCCGTGCTGCGGCCGAGACCAATGCCGCCTTGGTTGCCCACGCCAAATCGATCGAGCCGCAGTTGGAGCGGCTGGTCGAGGAGAACGGCAGGCTCTTTGCCGCTGTCTCGGCCGCCGAGGACGCGTCTGACGAGCTGCAGCGTGCCGCGCTCGCCAACGAGGCTCTTGCTGCGCGCGTCGACAACCTCGTCACCCAAAACGACTACCTCCGCCACGAGCTGTCCAAGGATGTGACTCGCCAGCGCGCCGAGCGCGACGAGTTGCAGGCCAACCTCGACTCACAGACCGCCCGCGTCATCTCGCAGGCCTCGCTCCACGGCGAGCTCCAGGTCGTCAACGTCGCGCTCCGCGAGGAGAATCGCCGACTCTACGACGCCGTCGACGAGCTCTCCGCCAAGCTCCGTGTCCTCGAGGCTGCCACTGGCATCGAAAACCCGGAGGAGCTTGCCGACGAGGCGCCGGTCGGCGGCGACTCGGTCGCCTCGCTCCAGGCGCTGCGCTCCGAGAACGCGGCCCTCCGCCTCCGCATCCGCCAACTCGCTAAGGACCTGACACTCACCCGTAACGAGGTGACAGAGGCCACCGATGCGCTCGCCGACGTCCTGGTGGGCGAGTCTGAACCGGCCGGCAACGAGTCGGACGCCGCTCGCGCACGCCTCGTCAACCTTGTCCACACCCTCCGGGCCCAGATCCGCTCCAAGTCGATTGAGGTTGAGGCGCTGCAGGACGAGGTCCGTCAGCTGCAAAAGTACGCCACCGTCGCCCGCAAGGCCGGCGCCGGCGGTCTTGACGGCCCGCCGGCGTCGCTCCGCGAGTGGCGGATGGCGAGCGGAGGTGCCGACGACGGCACCTTCCGTGGTGATTCGGCCCCGCCCGGCTCACTCTCGCCCGCCGAAGCCGCCGCTCTCAAGGAAGAGCACGGCAAGGCGGTCTCCGCGCTCAAGGCCCGGATTGTCGAGCTGGAGTCTGTCGCCTCCTCGCTCCGGTCGCAGCTCAACGGCATGTCGCTGGCCTCGGCCTCGACCACCTCGCACGGCTCGTACGAGCGCGAACTCATGGCCGCCGACATGGGCCGCCTCCGCGACGACCTTGCCCGCGTCGCTGACGATCGCTTTGAGCTCGAAGGCATGCTCAACAAGGCCCGCAACGAGGCCGCCACCCTTCGCGCCTCGGTCGAGAGCCTCAACCGTGAGAAGCTGGCCCTTGAGCGTAACCTCCGCGAGGCAACTTCGCAGCTCAAGCGGGCCAAGGCCGGCCTAGCCACCCAGCCGGGTGCCAGCTCCGGCCGCGCCGGCGCCGGCGCCGACGCGATCAACAACCAGTACGAGCAAATCAAGGAGCTCCGCACAAAGCTGCAGGAGTCGTACGACGAGTTCCGTGCCGCCCAGGCATCCGCCCTCGCCGCGGGCAAGGACAAGATGCAGCTGGTGGTCCAGCTCGAGGCTGCCAAGCGGACCGCCGCCGCCGCCACCGCCCGCGCCGACGCTGCCGAAGCCTCGGCTGCCGCCGCCGCCAAGCGCGCCGCCGCCGCCGATGACGATGCTGTTCGTCTCCGCTCTGCTCTCGCCGAGGCCCTGTCCGCCAAGGAGACTGCTCAGGGTGCGGCCGCCACCGCTGCCGACGCCATGCGCAAGCTTGAAGCCGCCGTCGCCGATGCCGACCGCAACTCGACCTCTGCCATGTCGGCCACCCTCCGCGAGCACGCGCAGACCGTCTCGGACTTGCACAACAAGCTCGACCGCCGCTCGCAAGAAGTTGTTCAGCTCGAGCTCCAGGTCGCCGCCCTCCAGGCCGACCGAGTCGAGCTCGTCGGCGAGATCTCGCTCCTGCAGCACGAGCTCCGGCTCGCGCGCGAAGAGGCTAACGAGGGCTCGGTCCTCGCTCGCTCGCTCGAGCTTGAGCTCGACGGCGTCGAGCAGTCGGTCGTGCGTGCCGAGGCCCTCGCACTCCACGGCGAATCGCAGCTCAAGGTCGTCGGCGACCGGCTCGACGCCTCCATCAAGGCCGTCCGTGACGGCGGCGTCGCCGCCTCGGTCGCACACCTCGAGTCCTCGAACCGGGACATGCAGGCCGAGCTCGGCCGCCTCGAGGGCGACCGCGAGGCGTCGCCGCTCAAGCGTGAGGCCCTTGCCGGGCCGCCCGCGTCGGACGGCCCACCCTCGCCCTCTTCCCACCACCCGCAACCTCCGGCAGTGCCCAGCGACAACGTATGGATCAAGAAGGGCGCCGGCGCTGTTGTGTACTATAAGAACGCCGCTACCGGCGAGGTCCGCAGAGATCTGCCATCGGGCGCCGTCCTTGCGCCGTAAACGACTCTACTATCCATGCCCGCTCGCCCGGTACCGCGCGTTGGCGAACCACGTCGCCACTTGCTTGGCACTGAGGCCCGAGGCGCGCGCCAGCTCGTTTCGCGCTGACTCGTCAGGCCGATCGCCGTGGGCTGCTCGCCACTCGCGAAGTACTTTGCGGGCTTGCGCGTCAAAGTTGGTTCGTTTCTTCTTGTTTGGCGGGAGCGTGCCGTTTGCGACCATGACGTCCAGCCGCGCCAGCGCGGCGTGGCTCTCGGACGCCAGCCGCGCCACCGCTGCGCGCCGGATGCCAGCCACCCTGTCGTGCCACCCAGAAACAAGGGCATCAGGAAGCGGGCCATTCGCGGTCGACTCCATCGCCACAAGCGCTTCCCCAGCCGCGGCGCACTGCCGGCGGATGACCTCGATGCCGCGGGTGTACGCGCCGCGGGTCGAGTACAGCATCATGCCCGCCACGTGGTTCTCCTCCGCCGCCGCGCTCAGCGCCGCAAAGCTGCCGGCTGCAAACACCATGCTTCCCATCGCAGCCTCGAACGAGGCCAGCTCGGCAGTGGACGACTCGCTACCGCTAGCTGGACTCGGTGCCTCTGGCTCGGACTCGACCTCGCTTGTCGACGGCGCGTGGAACGCGCGCGTCGTCTGCGTCGCCACAAACGGCCCGTTCCCGGCACAGGCGTACACCTCGCTTCCGAGTGACGGCGGCAGATACCCAAGTGTTGGACGGAGCGATCGCGGCATAGAAGGCGGGCGTCACACGTTGGAGACGAGTCTGGGCTCCCCGTCAGCCATTGATCCTAGCCCGGTGCCGGGGGAGGGGGAGGGGGGGGGGGGGGGGCAGCCACTCGGCTCTGCCCAGACCGACCATGCCGCGATCGCTGCGACACGCGCGCCATGTCGCACCAGAGCTTGCCACAGACAGCCGCCACTGCTTCCATGCCTCGGTTATGTCGAGTGGGAGCAGAGATAGGGCCGGACGAGACACGAGCTCGGCCGCTGCCAGGCCCGTGGCCGATCAAGCGCTCGCCGAGGTGGCGGATGCGCTGGGCGACGAGGCGGGACGGGCGAGCGAGCTGGCGGGTCACCCGTTGATGGAGCTGCTGGTGGAGCTGATGGAGCTCATCCAGACCGCGCCATGGACAGAGTCGCCGAGCGAGGGCCCGCTGGCGGCAGGAGTAGCGGTGGCGGCCTTTCTGGCCCGACGGGGCGTCCGCCAGCTCGACGAGCTGCTCCCGGGAACCTTTGGCGACGACATGATGTGGCGGCTGGTGGCCATGCGGCGGGTGCAGGCGGCCGAACTGGAGAAGCTGCATCGGATAGTAATGTCTGTCACTAGCACCTTTGAGGCCGAGGCGATGGCGGCTACTGGTGAGTCGAGCCCGGGCCTGCTGTCGATGGCGGCACGGATGCAGGCGGTGCAAAAGGCGCTCAAGCGGAAGCACTCGGCGGCCGACGCGGCGCTCAAAGCTGAGTTGGATCAGCTCGGGCAGTGCCGATCCAAGCGGCAGCGGCTGTTGGGGCGCGGCGAGCGGGCACGGGGAGACAAAGACGATCGCGATGCGTATGCGGCGGCGCAGGCTGTGCTCAAGGCGTGGCTCTTTGAGCACGCTCATCACCCGTACCCGACCAAGGACGAGAAGACCGAACTCTGCGCAGCGACCGGAATGAGCCGGACGCAGCTCGACAACTTCTTCATCAACGCCCGGAGGCGGATCCTGCCCAAGGTAAAAGCATAGCGGCGTGGGTGGATGGTCTTTATCCTGTGGCCGAACCAAACGAGTCGGACGTGATCGAGCCGGAGCCGAGATCGGCGAGCGAGCGGGCGGGCGAGCGCGAGTTCTTGGACTTTGAGCGCGAGCGCTTGCGGATTTGCGAGCGGCGGCGGGCGGTCGAGCGTGACCGGGTCGTGCGCGTCGCTACGTGGTCTGGCGGAGGAGTCGCTTCTTTGGATCGTGAGCGCGAGCGGCGGCGAGAAGGGACCGGCCGGCGCGATGAGACTGATCGCGAGACCGAGGCCAGCGTGGTGGCCGACGCGGTCGCGGCGCGCTTCTTGCGGATGGTGTGGAGAGGGCGCGGCGGCGAGATGGCGGTCGACGACGACGAGCCTGAGTCCGAGCCCGAGTTTGCGCCCGAGTTTGTGCCCGATGCCGCAGCGTGCGACGAGGTCGACTCCTCCGACGCCGATGAGATGGCGGTGAGCTGCCGGGTACGGCGGGCGGCCGAGACGTGGCGTCTGGCGGCCGAGGGCGACATGGAGCGGCGGCGGGAGCCTGGCTGGAGGCGCGAGGGGCGAAGGCGGAGCGACGGCGGACCGTCGCCCGAGCCCGAGCCCGAGTCTGCCGACGCTAACGACGGGTGTGAGTTGGCCGGCGAGATCTTGTGGATGAGGGCGAGGAGCATGGGCTCGAGACGGTCAAACGAGGGGCGTGCCTCGGGCTTGGGGTTGAGGCACCGCTCGGCAATCTTGAGCAGCGCCCGCGGCGCCGACCGGTTTGCCGCGGCCATCTCCTCCAGCACTTTGCCAAAGGCGTAGACGTCGACCGCAAGGCCGTAGCCTGTCGATGGCTTGAGGAGGTCGCGGACCGAGGCCCGCGGACGCGAGTATGAGACCGAGCCGTGTCCACGGCGCGCCGCCGGCATGTGCCCCGGGTACAAAGCCGAGGCGGTGCCGCCGACGCCGCGGCGTGCCCGCTTGCCTTTGTGGGTCCGGCTTGGGCGCCGCTGCTTGGCCTTTCGGCTCCGGGATCGCGACGCATGGTTGGCCTTGCCAGCATGTGACGACGACGACGACGAGCCTGACGCCGCCGCCGCCAGCGGTGCGAGCCTGTTGCCCTTGGAGGTCCGCGACCTCGAGCGGGTACGGCCGGGCCGACCGGACTTTGACAGCGAGCGAGCGCGCGAGCGGGTACGACGGCGGGCGGTGCCGCCGCCGCCGGCGTCTGACTCGCTGCCGCGCGACGACGACGAGTTTGTGGCCGAGCGGACAATGCGCGGCGCAGGAAAAGACGTGGTTGACCGGACCGCATCGGGCGTGGCGGCCTTGGGCGGGAGATCGGCGGCGGCAAACGAGGGCGACGCCGCTGACGACTCTGGCGACGCGCTCTTGTTCGAGCGCCAGCGGCGGAACCACGACTTTTTGCCCGAGGACGCCTCGTCGGGCACGGGGGTGAGCTCGGTCTCCGACGGGTGCGCGTCGGAGGAGTGCGAGGCCGATGCCGGGAGCGGCGACGGCGGCGCGTCGGGCGACGGCGACGGCGGCGGTGGTGAGTACGACGACGACGCCGACGCGCCACGGGTCTCGCCGGTCTCGTCGGCCGAGGCTGTCGAGGCCGCGGCCTCGACAGCCTCGGCGTCGCGCATCCGCTGCGAGACAGTCTTCATCTCGGGCGCCATAAAGTCCGGCGAGCCGGTGCCGAGCGTCATCTCCTCGGGCTGCGAGGGAAGGAGGCGCGAGAGGCCAAAATCGATGATGCGGACGTCACCGTCGACGTCGAGCAGGATGTTGGCCGACTTGAGATCACGGTGGATGATCCTGAGCGAGTGAAGGTAGGCCATGCCGGAGCAGATGCCGTGTGCAACCTTGAGGATGGCGAGCGGAGCAAGCGAGGCCTGTGCTGCCTCGAGATCGGTCGGGCAGTACTCCATGATCACCCCGACCGACGACTTGTCCTGCACCACCCCGTAGATCGAGATGATGTTGCGGTGGTTGAGGAAGGTGACCAGCATGACCTCTTCTTGAGGTCGGCCAGGTCCTCCTTGGTCCCCTTGGGCACCTTGTACGCCACCGGCTTGCCGCGGAACGTCGCCTTGTATACCTTGCCGAACGAGCCTGAGCCGACCACCTTTTTGCCCTTGAGCTCCTTCCGCGAGACAATGAGCTCCTCCGGGAGATCCGAGAACGACTCGAGGACTGGCGCCGTTGCTCTGTCTTCCGACCCCGAGTGAGAGCTGCTCCCGCTCGACTGCGACCGCGACTGCGACCGCGACCGCGACCGCGACTGCGACCGCGGCCGCGACTGCGACTGCGATGAAGACGATGACGATGACACTGACGGCAGCGGAGCCGGCAGCGGAGCCGGCGCGAGTCGCGGCGGTGGTGACTGTGCTACCGACGCCGAGCCAGTGAACGCAGTCCTCGACCGCCTCCGTCGCCGTCCCGACCTATGCGGCTTGCGCGACTTGCCCGACGTGCGCGACTTGCCCGACTTGCCCGACTTGCCCGACTTGCCTGACTTGCCGGATCGTGTGGCTCTCGACCTCCGTCCCGACGGCCTTGTCGACCTTGACCTCGAACGAGATCTTGATCTCTCACTCGCCGTGGTCATCGTCGTGTTTGCCGCCGTTGGCGCAGCAGCAGCCGAAGCCTTTGACTTCTTCTTGTCCTTCTTCCCACCCTTGCCCTCCTTGGCGCCCTTTGCTGCCTTTCGGCTGCTTTTGGCGGCAGAGGCTCTTGACGAAGCAACAGAAAAAGACCGAGTGCTCGCAAGACTGTCCAAGTTGTTTGCGCCACTCGCATGAGCTCTGGCCGTCGACCTTGAACTCGACCTTGACCGTGACTGTGTCTGTGACCTTGTCTTTGACCTTGCCTTCCTCCTCCTGCCTTTCTTCTCCTTCCTGCTGCTGTGCCTCCTCTTCAACCTTGTGACACTGCTGCTGCTGCTGCTGCTGCTGCTGTTGCTACTGCTGCTGCTGCTACTGCTGCTGTTGCTGCTGCTGCTTGCCGACGACGACGACGACGACGATGACGTCTCCCTACCGCCCTTGCGCTTCCCCCGTCCCATGCCACCCACTCCCGTTGGCAACTGCTTTGCCTCGCGCCCACCTGGGAGGCCTTGGGCTCGGCTGGGGTCGGGTGGGTGGGCAGCCGCTCCCGCTCTTGCTCCTTGCCATCTGCCCGCGGCTGGCCGAGGCCCGTAGCTTGTCAGCCGGGATTGGCAAGGGGGGGGGGGGGCAGTTAGGTAAAGTGGGGGGGGGGGGGGGGGGGGGGGGGGGTGAGGTGGGGTGTAACTTTTTTATTATATTTTTGTCTTTGCCGGGGTGGAGTGGAGGAATGAAAGGTGGGAGGAGAGCGCGCCGAGACAAACGACGCAGCGCGGTAGTGCAGTATGAGGATGTGGATGGGTGGTGGTGTTAGCTGGCAGGTGGATGGGTGGGTGGTTGGGTGGGTGGTTGGGTGGTTGGGTGGCTTGGTGGTGATGGCAAGGCGGCATGGAGAGGACAGAGTCTGCCGTGGCATCTGCCGAGAAATTCGCCACGGGTGACGTCTCGGCTGTCATCACCTCGGCAGGCTGCTGCTCACGGTTGCTCACGGACTTGCCTGCGGAACAGACTCGACTCTGCGGGTTACGTCGAGGCGCGGTGCGAGGAGGGCGAGCATGCGGCAGGACGGAGTGGTGTATCGGAAGGTCATGTACCGGAGGGTGGTGGCTGCGGCAGGTGCCATGGTCGTCCTCATCTTTGGCTACTCAATCATGCTGGGCGAGAGGGAGATCGACTTGTCCGAGCTGCCACACTCTGGCGGAAAGGCCGCCATGACAACAGGATCTGGAGCAGGAGCTGGTCATGCGCCCACGCCCACGCCCACGCCCACGCCCACACCCACGCCAACATCGCACAATTCGCCTCCGCACAGTTCGCCGCCCCATGCAGCGGCCAACGTCCTGTCGGACTCTTCGCCTTATGCAGAGCCTGTCGCCGACGCCGAGCTGACTGATGGCATGGCGTCCTTTGCGGCTGATGTGCGTGCGTTTGTGGCAAACACGAGGGCAGCTGGCGAGGAAGATGGCAAGTTGGCGGACGATGCGGGAGGCGGGCCGTGGAGCTATCCCGGCGCCAACTGGCACACACTCGGGTGCTCGGAAGCGACGGGCGAGCATGGCAGCAGGACGCGGTACAGGCTGTGCGTGGACGGGGCTCGGGAGGTGCTGGAGGCTGATCCGCACGGCCGGATCTCGCTTGTGGTTCGGTTAGAGGCGCGCGAGGGAGAGCCGGCGGCGTGTGGCGCTGAGGTCGGCATGGTCTTCTCGGCTACGTATCCGGCACGGTTTGCGCCGATCTCCATCGAGGAGCGCACCGCTCAATGCGGAGTCTTTGACGCTGTGCTCTACCTCCCGCCGGTCCGCGGCGTGTTCGCGCTCGAGGCGACGCTGGTAAGCGCCAACGGAGCAACACCGCTCAATACGCCGTTCGGCTTTATCCTCGGCGCCCTTCATGTGGCGGCGCCCGCGTACACCAGTCTCACTGCGCTCCCGGACTGCACCGGAAGCAGTGACGAGGCCGAGCGCGCGGGATGGTGGCTCCCGCCGCGGATGCTCGGCCACGACGAGGTGGTTGGCGAGGCAACGATGGCGTGGTTCTCGCCGGCGTGCTCGCGCCGGAAGCACGTGTCTAGCGCCGAGCTTTCGGCTGTCCTCGACGGCCGCCTGGTGCCGATGGTCGGCGACGGCGCCGGCGTCTGTGCCCTATTGGATCTCCACGCCCCGCGGCTGGTTCCGCCCGACGGCCGTGAGATCGATGAGGTCTACGGGCGGCTCAAGGCCGCCCCGGGCCTCTACCACTGGCGACATGTGCTGCCGACGGCGGAGCTCGTCGACTATGGCTACAACGAGCTTGCCGAGCAGGCCACTCGCCCGCTGGCCTCGCTTTCCGAACTGGCCGCCGCGCTGGCTGCGGAGCCCGAGACCCGCGCTGCTGTCGTGTGCGTCGATGTCGGGCAGGACGTCGACAAGCTGGCGACGTTCCTCGACGCCATCTCCGAGTGGCGCGGCAAGCTTGTTGTCGTCCTCGCGCCGCGGATCCGACTCAAGGCTGCGGCCGAGACGCCGTTCCCGGACGAATGCGTGTGTCGCGGAAGAGAGCCAAGCTCGTGCGCGTGCACCCCAGCGCAAGGCGTGGTCCGCCGCTTTATTGGCCTCGCCGAGGCCGACAGCTCGGGTGTCCTCCACCGCATTTCCGATCCGCATGGCCGCCGTGCCGGGCGATGGGTGTGGGATAACCCAGAGGCGGCGCCGGTCTCGCCATCGGCCGCCAACTGGGCGGCGTGGCGGTCGCCGGCAGCCGTCGCCCGTGCCAACGCCGCCGTTGTCGAGCTGATCCAGGCAAAGCGTGCCGCCAGCACGCTTGTCGACTACTTTGCCATGACCGACGCCGCGCCGTCGTCGGCGACCTACAACGGGACCTGGTACTGTCCGACCGATCTCATCGCGCTCCGTGCCGCCCACTCGGTGTACACGCCATCATGCTGGGTTGCCGCCGCTGCCGCCAACGCCGTCGCCGCCGCCGTCATCGCACCTGCAGCGTGATGGGCTCCACTCGCCTGATCGGATGGCGTAAAGCAGGCAGAGCAGCCTTGCCACACTCGTCTCGGCCCTCCACAGCCATAGCGCGTACGAGTACGATGGCGCTTGCCGATGAAAGCCCGAGCGAGTACATGGATCCGCTGAGTAGACTGGATGCAAACGATGGCAAGTACCACGTCCTCATTGGGCTCACCGGCTCTGTGGCGACGATCAAAGCCTACGAGCTGATGAGGGCGACGCGCGGGGCTGTAGGCGAGGATGCGGTCATTGCCGTGGTGGCAACCGCAGCCGCGCAACACTTTGTCGACGTTGACCAACTTCCCGAGGGCGTCGTCTTTGTGCCGGACGAGCTCGAGTGGTCGGCGTGGCGAGGCAAGGGCGACCCGGTCGTCCACATCGAGCTCCGCAAGTGGGCCGATATCTTTGTCATTGCGCCGCTCTCGGCCAACTCGCTCGCCAAGCTCGCCCTCGGCCTCGCCGACAACTTGCTCACCTGCGTGGCACGGGCATGGGACATGGCTCAGTCGGAGAAGCTCATGGTTGTGGCTCCGGCCATGAACACCGCCATGTGGAAGCACCCAGTCACCGCCACACACATGGCCACCATCGAGTCTTGGGGCATCCTCACCATCGCGCCCGTCTCAAAGCTCCTCGCTTGCGGCGACACTGGCGTCGGCGCCATGGCTCCCGTCGCAGACATTGCCGCTGCCGTTGCCCACGCTGTAGGCGCGGCTGCTTCTGCCGATGCGCTCTGGCTCGACTCGTGATGTTCACCCGAGCAACTCCCCACCCCCTTGGTTCTGCCAATTGAAGCCGTCGAACCAGATCGAACACCGTCATCCATCCGGCCTTCCATCCGAGCTAAAGTGGTGGAAGCCAGTTGAACGTCGAGCGTCTGCCCGGCACCTCTATCACGCACGCCCGTCTGCCCCATCTACACTACCATCAAACAATTCCCCACGCCTACAACCTCATCGACGCTCTTCTCCAGCCCCCTACCACCATCAGGGGGGCCTCTACACCACGTACGGCGCGAACCAGGCGCCGGATAAGAGTGGGCCGCGTCGGCGTGGTCGTGTGGACAAAAATTGGCACATTTGCGCAAAGCGGTTGGCGACTTGGCGCTGGTGGCGACCAGCGACGTCGCAGAATACAGTCGTCACACTTTTCTCGAGAAACATGGCTCGTACCAAGCAGACCGCCCGCAAGTCCGCCACCGGTGCCAAGGCACCGCGCAAGTCGCTCGCCACCAAGGCCGCCCGCAAGTCGGCGCCGGCCACCGGCGGCGTCAAGAAGGCCCACCGCTACCGCCCGGGTACCGTCGCCCTCCGTGAGATCCGGAAGTACCAGAAGTCGACCGAGCTCCTCATCCGGCGCCTGCCCTTCCAGCGCCTTGTCCGTGAGCTCGCCCAGGAGTTCAAGGCCGATCTGCGCTTCCAGTCCTCCGCCATTGCCGCCCTCCAGGAGGCTACCGAGGCCTACCTTGTTTCCATCTTTGAGGACACCAACCTCTGCGCCGTACGTCGCCCCCACCCGTCCCCTCTCCCTCCTGTGTTCCCCCCCTCCCCGCTTCGCTCCCGTGTGTTCCAAACCTTTTTTCGCCCGTCTTTCCCGCTCGCCAAACCCGCCGCCGTTTGCCACCGCCCAAAGTGGTCGCTTTGTCTGCGGCCACCGACGAAAACGAGCCAGAGGTGGCGGACTTTCTGCCATTGGCTATACAATTTTTATTGATCACCCCCCACCCCCCACCCGCCCTACCACGCCACTACCACGCTACTCACCCGCCTGCACCCACAGATCCATGCCAAGCGTGTGACCATCATGGTCAAGGACCTCTCCCTGGCCCGGCGCATTCGTGGCGAGCGCGCGTAAGCGCCTCTTTGTCTTTCCCTTTGGGAGCCGGGCGCCCCCCCCCCCCCCCTTCCTTGTACTCTCGTTCGTCCGCACTCTGTTCCCTCGTCAGCCAGTCCAGGAGAGGGTGCAGGAGCCGGCCAAAAGCGCTGTGCGTGTGCGCATGCGCTTCCGGCTTCCAAGGGAGGCACCCACCCCCCTTTACCCATGGTTCTTTCTCAAGAACCCCCCCTCTGCCTGCAATGAACAATCGAGAGAAACCTCGCCAACTGCCACACCTCACTCGCTCACACTCCTCGCACCCCCCCCCCCCCGCCTCTCCATGGAGGCGCTCCGTGCGGCAGTGGACGCGCTCACAGCCCACCTTGTGACCGCAACCCAGACACCTGGTCTTGAGCCTGATGACCTCGTCCTCCTCGAGTCGCTCCTCTCGCCCATGCTCGACGCCCTCGACTCGTCGCTCAATGCCTCGCTTGCCGCTCCGGCGCTCCATGCCCTCGCCTCTGCTGCAGAGCTTGGCTTTATCCCGCTCTCACTCGTCCATTCATCGCTTCTCACGCCGCCATTGCCTTGGCGCCCCTCGCCGCAAGCCACTTCTATCGATGCTGCCGCCCTCGAGGCTGAGAACGCTGCCCTGGCCGAGTCGCTCGAGATGGCGCTTGACAATCTGGAGGCCGGGACGGTCGAGCACACTCGCCTTGAGCACATGCCTCCTGCTCCGGCGCTTCGTCCTGTGGGGCTCTTTGCTGCGGCCAATGCTGATGGCACCTGCTCCGCCCGCCACCTCAGTCCTTCATCCGCTCGGCACACATCTCGCCGCCAGGTGCCGCCACTGAGGCGGACGGCGGTGGTTGCGCCGATGGATGGCCAGCCCGCCAGCCCGCCGCGTGTCATTGCCAGTCCGCCGCCATCGGCGCCGCTCCCGCCGCCGCCACTTGGTTATGCGCCTGCCGGGCACGATCTCGTCCTCGATCGCGCGCTGTCAGCAAGCGATCGCGCCGCGCTCCGGCACACGCCGCGGCCGGCTGCCATCTTTGACAGCGCCGGAGCCGCGGCCTCGCTGCACGCCGCACGACGGACGCGGACACAGTCTGCCGCCATTGCTGCCGGGCAGGCTGCGCGACTCCGCCACGATCTTGTTCATGCCACGATGCACCGTAAGGCCACGCTGAGCCCATACCAGCGGTTTGTCGTCGCGTCGGCGCGGTCGCGCATTGTCCCGCCGTCGTCGCGGAGCCGTCCAGTCCCGCGGCGTCCAGCGCCGCCTATCTTTGAGCGGCGTGCTGTGGTGTTTGATGTTTGATGTGTGATGCGTAAGCACTAGGTTCTTGCTGACTCGACTGGTTGCTGCCTACGCGTTGGGATCGACCTCTCCGCGTCCGAGGCGGACGTTGTAGACGTGCTTGACCGAGTCGACGAACCACGAGAAGATGGCCGGGTCTGTCCGGACAATGCCCTTTGCGGCGATGTACGCGTTGGCAAACATCTTGCGCTCGGTCTCCTCGCCGACAAACGGGATGTCAAACATCTTGTTGAACGAGGAGACGACGCTGGTCTTGAGCTCGGCGGAAAAGATGTTAGGCACGAGGTCGTCGGCGATCTTAGACGGGAGATGGACGACGTAAGAGAGGGCTGTCATGGGGATCAAGCGCCCGACGGCAGACATAAGCGTGTAGTAGAGCTTCTTCTCCTGCTCATGGTTGAGGAACGGGAGATTGATGCCGTTGAGCATCGTCTGCATCATCTTGAGCTTGAGCGGCCCGTGGAAGAGCTCGCCATCCTCATCGGGGCTCCGCGGTGCACTCTCGCCCTGGGCCAGGATCGGAAGCTCGACCGGGATCTCGTCCTCGGGCACCACCGTCGCCGTAAACTTGAGCGTGACATGGACCTCGCCCGCCGAGTCGGCATCGCCGTCGTAGTCGGCCGGAAGATCGAGCGCGAGCCAGGCGTCGAACTCGGCCTCGGACACGAGCTCCTCGCCGCTCACCTTGGCCGACCCCATCGCATCGTTCGACCCGAACCGATCCCAGTCAAACACCAGGATCTCCACCTCATCAACTGCAGAAAACGGACCAATCGTCGCCCGCGCGTCTTCCCACACCGGCTCCAAGCTCGCTTTGACCGTCGGCGTCTTGAACTTGTGCCCGCCGGCACGAACCACCACATACGGATCGCTCGAGCTCGAGTCCGCCACAATCAGCCCTCGCCCCGCATGAACCGTAATCTCGAGCGTTCCGTTGAGGCTTCCACTCGACATTCTGTTGTCTTTGGCGTGGAGTATGGCCACCCACCGTCGACACGCTTCCTCACCAGCTCTCGAGCCGTTGGGTGGTTCCCCCTCATCGTTGCGCAACGTAGTCACCCGTAGCTGCCAACTAATCAGAAAAAAAAAACAAAAAAAAACTTCTGTCACCCCCCACCCCCCCTCCCGTCCCCTCCCCTCCTCCCATTCTTCCACCCACTACAGTCATTCGCAGCCTTGACTCTCACGCCCTCCCCCTCCAAGCCCACCCCCGTACTCACACCCACACCCACCTATCCCCCTCTCTCTCTTCCAGTATCTGTACGTTTACCATAGCTACATACTCCCTTCGCCCCCCCCCCCTCTCCCTTCCGTTCCCCTTCCCCCTTCCCCCCCCCCCCCCTGGCCCCTGACCCATTCCCACCCATTGGCGTCCGCAGCCTGGCCAAGCCGCTAGTCGTTCCGCATAAAGGAACAGCTACTGGGGAGGGGAGGGGGGGGGGGGGAAGGAGGAGGGGGAAAAGGGGCTGTCACTGCAGCAAATGGCGAAGAACACAGTGAGGAACGGGTGATGCGGTGGCATACTGTGGGTGTGGTTTTAGAAGAGGCTCTGCTTGGGTGGTGGTAGAGGGGGGGGGGGGGGGGGGG